CCGTTCTACAACACCGCGCTCGCAAACTGTGACATGGTGTTCGTCAACAGCGAGCACGTTGCATGGCTGCCTCAGGGACCACAATTGCCCCCAAATACAAACATCAAACCAGATGGATTTGCGACCCACCCAGGAATGTACCATGCCAAGGATGCACCCATGGACCACGTGCATCGCCCGTCGGAGCATGTGTTTCGATTTGGTGAGCCAGAAAAGCAATTGATGGACTGCGTCGTCCTCTTTGAGAGCCAGCTCCGTATAACCGACGCTGCGTTTGGCCAAGTGGTGCAGTACCTACGCCGTCTTTTCCCAACGGGGTCCGCAAGTGCTGTGCTGTTCGACCCCCGCTCATTTTGGCTCATCACGAGCTTGAAGACTGTCATCCTACGCGTTGAAAGGCCAATTGGGTAGACGGAGGCTCCAAGGCGCTCTTTGAATCGTTCGTGTCCGACCACACATCTCCGTGGGTGCGTCTGTTGACAAGAGCCTGCTCGGCTCTGGGGGTGGACGTCGTGGAGGGCGGCGCGTTCCTCGGTCGTGGTGCCCATGGCCGTGTGTTCAAGGTCGAGCGGAAAGCCGACAAAAAGGTGCTCGCGCTAAAACTTGTCGACTCAAGCTCCAAGACTGCTCTCTTTCGCGAGGAGTTGGCCCTGACGAATGCCGAGCTCACAGTTTGACGGCTCGCCTCGAGCACGGCTTCGTTGAGTTTCCAGGGGGTGCTGCGTTATTGGTGACTCCAGTGGGGGCTCCTCTGCCTCGACCGACGACACTACAGGAAGTTGTCAACCTCTTTGACCTGCTCAGACGGCTCCATGAGAAGAATATCATCCATGGAGATCCCCGCGTGCCGAACGTGATCGTCGTCAAGGACAACGACAAGGACAAGCTCCTTTGGATTGACTTGGTGGAAGCTGTCCAGGTGACTCCGGGATTTCGCACCACGGATGCTGCTATTCTCACCCGGTCGATCCTCCGCTTACTACATACGTCTTTGCTGGGGGAGCCCTTGGAGTCGCTGATCAACGAGTATGGCCAAACCCCGACGAGTGAGAACGCCCACCGTTTGGCCACCGCAGTGTTCCAGTGCACCAAATTTTCAGCCCGACGTTAGACTGGGAGGCCGGCCATACAAGACTCATTGTGAAATGCAAGGATGATCACATCGACCAATATCCGGATGAACTTCTATCATCTTGGTCCTCGTCTCGCTGGAAAGAAGCGCAAGCGAGACGAAAACATGCTCAAAGTTGCGACTGTATCGGGGCTGTTGCGCAACAAACTCAAGACGGCAGAGTCCCTGCAGTCCTTGTACCGGTATTGCATTCATGTGTTGCAATAGCCGTGTTTGGTTGGCCCAAATACATTTGCGTTTTCAACCACTCAGAACACGAATTTTTAAAATTGAATTATTTAATTTCTATATTTTATAACGATAAATTAAAGCGTAGGAATCATAATCCTAAAGTTATAGAATAAAAAATATTAAAAAATATTTTATAAAATAATTATTTTAATATTTATATTTATTTAATCTAAAGAATTTATATTTTATTAATTATGTCGAACCTCTAAGCACATGCAAGACACATATTTCTTGCGAAGGACATCTTGGTGGAGGAATCCCAGGCAGGGCGACCGGTACATGTGTGAACATGCTTAGATCTGCGTCGATCATGCAGGCGTGGGCGACAGAAGCTGGAGTGACCAGGGTGGTATTTCGAATGCATAACATACAAAAGATCGATCATAGTAATCCATCCAATCGCGGAGGCACATGCCGCGCACTACGCCGTCTGCGGCTCGCCTGAACTTGCACCTGTACATTGGATATGCACACTGGTAGGTATACATGGGACAAGCTTCTGAGCTCTCTGGCAAATGACCACCTCTCACATCGCTCCAGTGTTGGCCGGCTTCTCATTCTCATTCAGCGGATGCGCCAAGCCGAACCTCGTTCCCCCGACGAGTACTCGGCGTTGAAAGATCGCATTGTGTCCAAGGCACCCCAAAGCATTCATGGGGCATGTCTCCGGCTGACAAAGTTGCTGCGATCAACGGCCTCGATCGCAGCAACTTCGTCAGCCGTCCCGCGTCCAACTCCCAGGATCGGTCGCCGGCATTACAGCAGCCTGCAGCACGGCCTCCCCGCATTTTAACCATCAATCACAGGCTAGTTTTCGTTGTATTATGTTGATGCATCCATGCCACTATGGTCGACATCTCTTCTACTTCCACGCGTCGTGGAGTTCTTTCCGGTCGGCCAACACACTTGTCAGGTACGCGCCACCAATGAACCCCAAGCACAGCAACAAGAGCAGCTCAAAGTTGAAGTCGGATGGCAGCACGTCGAACGCGTTGGCAGGGGCCAGTCGGACGTAGTACAGGTCCAATCCATACGCAAACGTGAGCGACGTCGACTCGAGCAGGGCGGGCGCCGTCACGAGGCGCCGGATGCCGCGGATCGTTTGGTTGTACGTGACCATGTTGAGGGCATTCGCGAGCACGGGCACGTACGGCGTGTACTGGAACAGCCCCTCGCTACAACAACAGTCCATCATCTGTCCTAGTCTATTCTCAAGGAATCTCTCGGTTTCGCACCTGATCTGCTCGGGGGTGGGCGCGCCGTCCGGCACCCGCGGGTCAATAAAGTTACGCGCAAGCTTAAAGATCTGGCCATTGGATTGCGCTACCAAAATATACTGCGGCGTGATGCCTTGATTGGTCACCGTCACCCCCAGCGCCTACACCAGCCATCCAGCATATCAAACTAGACGTTCAAAATGGGGGTTATATACATACCGAGATGGATGCGGGGTAGACAAATGTCTTTTGCAGCACCACGGGCAACTTGGGCTCGAATGACGACTTGGCGGACGCCCACCGCGGCTGCTTCCACGGATTCAGCCCATTCGCGGGCACGCCGCCTTCGACCAGCGTCAGCGACACGAGCTCCGTGCGCTTGGATTTGGTGTTCCAGTACGAATACACGAGCCAGTTTTCGCTCTACAATCGAGCGAACGCATGATCCACATGCCCCATCAGGAATCAACACAACCACAGCGCCCACAACAGGGTATATATATATAGACTAGGACATACCTGGACCAGATGCACGGGTTCGGCGGCGTCGCGGTGCTTGACGCGGTGGACGATGCGGCCCGACACGCCGTCGATGAGACTCACGTGCAGCACGCGGTGGTCGTCGATCGTCGCGACCCCAAACAAGTGCGGGTTGAGGTACTTGAGCAAAAGCGAGTCGTCGCCGAGCACAGTCACGGACGAGTCGATGGCGCGGTGTTCGGGCTGGACGGACCGCGCGACGATGCGCTCGTTGGCGGGGAGCGCGACCGACCACACGGGGGACGCGGCGGTCGTGGACGCCAGCACAAAGCCCTGGAATGCGTGGTCGTGGGGGTTGTACCTGTGCACGTAGAACGACTGGACGTGGTCGCGCACGTCTTCGTCGGCTGGAAACAGGTCCACATTGTTGGTCGCGTCGTCCAGCACGCCCACGACGCGGCGCGGGACGGTGGCGTCCAGCTCGACGTGTTTGAGTTTCGGCAGCAGCACCACCCACTTGACACCACTTGACGACGAAGCCGGCACGTCCTCATGGACGACGCTGCCATCGCCCGCATCGAGCCACAGCAGTTGCTTGGACTGCGGCGTCACGACCAGCAGCTCGGCACCCGCGCCAAACGCCGGATGGTCCCGCGTGACCAGCAGCTGGTGACCCGGACCCAGGAAGCGCGACCACGCGACCGCGCCCGTCTGCGAGTCCAGGCCGTACAGCTTGCCCGTGGATGTGTACAGCACCAGCAGCTTGGCAAAGCCAAACGTGGACGAGTGCTTGGTTGTGTCTGTCGCGCTCCATAGCGTCGACAAGGACGAGGCAAACTTGACGAGCTTCTTGAGCTCGAGGCCGAGTTCTTCCCAGTAGGTCGGGATGACTTTGAGAGATTTATCTTGGTCGACCGAGTCAAAGGTCGGCGTGACCCAGTACATTTGTGTGACATGGGCCAGCGCTTCTTCGCGGATCCACACCGGCCCCGCGTCCGCCGGCTTTTCATTGGACACGAGCACAAGGCTGGCGTCGGCAAACACAAGACCCACGCGTACGAGTGACAGCGCCGCGCCCTTCTTCTTGAACGCGACGCCGGCAAACCCACGGAGGACGGAACCGCCGTACAGCGCCACGTCCAGCGATGCCGTGAACGCCGGCGATGCCGCACCAGTGTAATGCGACGTGACCGACACGAGGTTCCGGGACGCATCGAGGGCGACGTGGAAGAGCGCGCCAGGTGCTTGGACCGAGTCGACCAACGAGCCGGACGACGGCAGGCTCGCCACCACCTGCACGGACAAGTCGGCAGCAATGCGAAGGAACACGCGCTTGTCGTTGGAAAGGGATGCGACCAGCGCGTGGCCAAGGGACGCGTCCACCGCCGAAAAAGACACGTCGGCGGGGTACGGCAGTTGCAGCGACGCTGGCGAAGCGATCGATGGGGGCTTGGTGAGGTCGTCCAGGGACTGCAGCGCGAGACCAGCGCCGTCGGGGAGGACGCCGACGGCCACTACGATGTCTTCGTCGTCGGTGCGATGGAGGGCGGCGGGTGAAGCGACGTCCAGAGTCGACAGCGCGCCGGACTTCAACACGACTTGGAGCACCACGGGCGACGCGGCGGCTTTGTCGGTCGTGCCGAGGATGTACAGCTTGGAACCATCCGCCGACACCTTGGACGAGATTAAAGTTGCCAAGAAGGTCGCGGATTTGAACGGCACTGTGCGGAGAACGTCCCCTCGCTTGAGGCCCAAGATGGTCACGCCTTGGTTGCGCACGACCACGAGGCACGTCTCGTCCACTTCGTTTTCGCCGCGGACTTCGTGGACTTTGGCAAAGGATGACGAAGATGACGAGGACGCAGGCAAATTCATCTCCCACAACAGACGACCGTACACGGCGTCCCATTGACGGACCACGGTAGCGTTGCCCGTCGTCAGCGCGTTGTTGGTCGAGGTGGAGAGTGTGACGACGCTGGCATGAGAATCGGCAAAGTGTAACGCATCGATGGACGATTCAGGCAGAACGTGACGCCACTCGACCGCCGACGTCTTGGAGTCAAGCTTTGCGAGCACGTTCGCGCGCGACGCGACGTACAACGCCTTGGAAACCTTGACGTCCTTGCTGTTCTTGGAAGGAAACACCGCGTGTGTCACTTCCCCCAAGCCTTCGCGGTGCCAGTCAAATAGACCGATTTGATCTTCGTACAGAGCAGAGTGCACGCAGACAGACGCATGCAGCAGCATGACCAGCATCAGCGCTACGATGCCATACATGCGACCCATCGTGGAAGACCTCAAACTACGAATTACGGTGTCCGTGAGCCGCTGGTTGACAAGTTGACAAAACCAGAGGTAGGGTGTCTATTTCGTCGAAATAATTCAAACATGAATATAAAACCCAAGCTTTTAGTTCATTGAAAGTTTAATATAATCATTAATTTCAAGTAGATTGACAAAATAGGAGGCAACGACGTCGACACTACGAACACTCTGACTGACTCACAACGTCGCCACACCACACCGAGTTAACGTCATGGCGCGATGCTCGTGTGTATCTGGGCTCAGAACACATGCTCCACCATCGCTAGACATCGATTGAGGCCTTGAGACAGAGCACTGGGCCTTGCATGGACTCCAAGCAATCGCGAACGTTCCCTTGATGCGTCGCCCTCCTTGACAATGGTCCGCGATGCATTTCGATTCAAGGCATCACCCCTGGAAACGGACATGATCACCAAAGGAACAAGCAAGTCTCTGTCGTCTCGGGCACCAAGTTGGTGCCGAGACGACAGAGACTTGCATGCCAACTTGGGATTCATGGACGACGGCTCCAATGAATGACTTCCAACTCCACCATACCGGCACCTATCCGACAATGCTCATTCTTTCTGGCTCTTCTTCGTCGACACCTTCGGCGTTGTGCATACTACTTGCTCGACCACATTCACATGATCTCGGTATGCATCGTTGCATCTCACACATGGATTCAAAACATGGCGAAACTGAAATTGACATATGCTTGTGTTTGATTGGCTAATATTTGGACTTAACGCTGTTTGATTGGCTAACGTGATTTTCCATTCCACCCAAGCTCGTCTATCTGCATTCGTCATGCAGTACCAGACCCCGCAGGGCTATGTTCCAGGGCAGTTCCCGCCCCCACAGCAGTACCAGCACAACCCTCACGACCAGATCCATTACCAGCAACCTCACTCTCGTCACGATCCACATCCCTCGTACCCACCGCAGCAGCAGCCATCGTCGCTTCCCACGCTCGACCCACAGCAACAACATCAGCAGTATCAACAAGCGTCGCACGAAGTTCAGCGCCAATTCCAACAGGCTGTCAGTCAGCATCGGTCGATGCTCCAACAACATCCCCACCAACAGCACATGCTGCAGCAGCACCATCAAATGGTCGTCCATCAGCAGCAGCAGCAGCCTTCGTTGACACCTCAACCGCAGCCACAACCACAACTTCAGCTGCTTCAGCAACAGCCAGCCCCGCATCTCAACCCACCACCACAGCAGCAGCCTCCTCCACAGACCCCCAGCGTCGAGTTGTCGTACCCGCCACAACCACCTCCATCTCTCCAGCCCCACGACAATTCCTTGTCTCCTGACTCGTCCTCTCAACAAATCCAACCCCTTCTCGACGACGCAGTTCACCGGTTGAACGCCCGCGTGGCGCAGCTGGAAGCGCAATTCGGCTTGCCTTCGAACCACTCGTCGTCATCGCATGCCCCGCCGCCATTGACGTCCCTCCCGCCGCCCCAAGCCTCTGCCGCCGCGACCTCGTCCTCTGCCCCCATTGCGCACGGATTCGTGGCGTATGATGTGTTTTCCACGGCCTTCTTGCAACCGTTCCTCGAATCCTGCGATAAACTCGGGCCGGACGTGGCCAAGTACGGCGCCATCGTCCGGCGCGCGTTCGACGCGCAGCGCAACTACCTCCTCGCCGCTAGTTTATCTCAGAAACCGACCACGGGGCCCGTAAAAGGGCTCTTGGCGCCCATCCAGGACGCGATCCGGGAAATGCACGACCTGTGCGACCTCCGCAGCGACTTTGCCAACCACCAGCACATGCTTTACGAAGGGCTGCAGACGCTCGAGTGGCTCCACGTGGACGGCGCGGCGCCGCATGCGTTCATGGCGCGGTACATGGGCGACGTGTGGGGCACCAAGATCCGCGCGCAGTACAAGGCGTCCAACGCCGACCAAGTCCGGTTTGCGGCGTCGTTCAAGGCGCTTGTGACCGAACTCATGGCTTACGTCGAGGACTTTCATCCGTCGGGAGTGACATGGAACCCCGACGGTGGCGACGTCAAGGACTTCTTGAAACCGCCGTCCAAGCGCACCAAGGCCAAGATCACACTGATCCGGACGCTACTCGGGCGAGAACCGGTCAAGCGCAACTTAAATTATAGCCGCCAAGGCACCGACGAGCACGACAACCTGACGAAAGCTCTGGCCGAGTGGCGGGCTGACGGCGAGCCCGTCGACAAGTTGAGCTATCGCAAAAAGTATGGCGTCCCAAAGCTCATTTGGAACACGCGGACGAACGCGAACGTCAACCGCCGCGTCAGCCTCTACGCGTCCCCGGGTATCACCGCGGTGCGGATGGAGCAAGAGGAGGCGCTCGTGGCGAAGCTCAAGGCGCAGTGCCACGACAACAACATCCGGTGGACGGCAAAAGATGTCCAGCAGTACGCGGTGCGGGACATGGGTGTGTCGCAAATCTCGGTGCGGCAGTGGTACTCACAGCACTTTTTGAAGCGGTGGCCAGAAGCCAAGGGCTTTATCATGCGATACAAAGAAGCCCACGGACGGGAGACGTTGACGTCGACGATGCTCTGACGATGACCGTACTATGTAGACGTGTCGTCGCTACATTGAGGGCGTTGTAAATAGATGGAAGTGCAAGTTGTATTGTGGGACTTGTGAATATATGTTTAGGACTAGTAGTAAAGTAAGGATGGGGATGTTAAGGCTGTGTAGATCATGTGCGCTGTGTCTCGGTCAAAGGGTGTGGCGTGATGTAGTCGCCCCAAGCAGTGGCAAATCTCGGTTCGATTTGAATCGGAATGACCCACATGATGCCTACATACACAGACAGGTGTATAATCATCATGGGGGTGTGTACTCGACTTGTACGATACGTACTGTACCTGCGTAGGGCTTGACCCATTTGAGACGAGGATGCGACTGCGGCGGGGGCAGCGGAAGGTAGTCGACGAACTTGTGGCCATCGACAAGCAGCTTGCCTCCAAAGAGGAGGCGCAAAGGCGGGTCCACGCCGCTGGTGTAGTACCCATCTCGTTCGTATCGCTCTTGGATTTGGTCCTGCAAGAAATGCATACAGTATGGTCAAGATGCGCCATGTGAATGGAAAGGTACCCGGATTTCAGACACGGGCAATGCTGGACGCAACTTCATGGAAAAAAACTCCCTGTGCACATTTTGTGCTTTAGCCGACATTGTCGTGGAAGTTTTCCTACCGAGGAGTGGCGCCTTCCCGAGCGTTGCCTCCGTCCCGTACCCAGATGTGCACCGTGTCGTCCAGCTTCTTCATTCGTTTCTCTAGTGCGTCGACTTTTAGTCGGTCGGCTTCAGAGAGGACCCGCCCATAGGCCGGCGTCGCCGCGGTCGGCATGTTTCAGTTGAGATCTTGAAGAGGCGTGCATTAACCGGATACGGATACACAGCAACATGCAACGGTGTCGGTCGGAAAGCCCGCTGCCGGCCGCAGCGGACCTCTTCCTCGTGTCCCCGTCGAAGCGCCGCATCCGAGATATAATTGAACTGAATCGATCAGTCAACCTCAAACTGGAGGAGCAAGCACATGTGGAACAGATCGCCCAACGTGCCAAGTACTACACCCGATGGAAGCATCTGCGTGACATTTACACCATGTACACGCTCGACAAACCACCCCCTACCAGTCCTACTCGGCGGGAGGCTCCTCCGTTGCCAACGCAGCATGCTGGATCGCCGAGGCGACGGAAATGCAACCACGGCAGTCCACTCATGGTTGCCTGTGTCGAGTTTTGTGTCGACCCGCTCGTGCCTGTCCTGGTCATGACGAGCATCATGTACTCGGCGCTAGGGTTAGACGCACGAGTTCCCGCGACGCAGACCCTCGTGCAGGAGTTTCTCAAGTGTATGCAAGTATCGCATCCGTGCAAACAGCCCAGCTCATTCTTCGTCGACCACCGCGTCATTTGCTGCATGTGGGACGTCCTTGCCTACCCGACGTTTCCCCCGCTTCGGCGACTCACTCGGTGGTTCGACACGTTCTGCATTGCATCCACCACACTCCCACTGGAAGCTGTCGTGCATCCACAGGACATCCGCTCCATGCTCTTCTCGGCATGTCCGACGCCCGCGTCGGAGACGGCGATGGACGTGTTTGTCAAGCACCTCGTGGCCGCAGTCGGGGACTCCCATCTGAGACTACCCCAATTGATGGCGTTTGCAGGTATGCTTGCAGAGTCTTGGCCAACGCATTCAAGACACTTGTGTGTCGCTAGACGCCCGGTTCGACCTCCAAGTCCTCGTGCGACGATTGTGCTGGGAGAATCTCACGGAAAGCCAACGCGAGGCCATTGAAAAGGACGAAAGCGACATGACCGCGGCGTTCGTCGAGCGCGAACGACTCGCGGTCCAGCATACTAAAGCGCTGACGTACTGGATTCACATGGAGCCTCGCCGTCGGTTTATGCGGTGGAAGCAGGTTCAATCTCGACCTTTTCGTCATATTGGGGGTGACGTGATGTGTGTGGATGTGCAGTTTACACAAGACATGGTGCGGTTAAAAACGGCGGACCGTCATGCCAGGCGCTACAAATACGGCCGGGGCGTGACGTACTTGGAAACAAATGCGCGGCGGGTGCGGTGGATGAAGCAGAGTCTTGTGAAGGCCATGACCTGTCATACCCGCACGCTGGCACTGACGACGTTTGACGGCTGGGTGTGCTTTTCAGTCGGATGCTACGAACTGTACGAAGCAACGATATCGTTTGCAAGTTTGACCTGAGGCGGGCCATTAGGGAGCGAGTGGCCAGAGGACAAAGCCAACGGCACTACGAGGCAGTGCGAACGCGCGCTGCGTGGTTGGGGCTTGTGCAATATGCGATGGTAAGAAAAGCAAGAGACTTGGTTGGAAGTGACGAGTACTGCTGATCGGTAGACCCAACGACAAGCCAAGCAGGTGCTATTGCAGCGGACAATGAAACTCATGCACCAAACCACCGACAAACGTACGTGGATGACGTGTCCGGGTGGCGTCGTTGAGGTGCTTGGACGTAGTGCTGGCCAAGACGTGGAACGCGTGGCGGTACTTTGTCCAGTTGCAGAAACTGGATCGCATGTCCCAGCAACGGCAGGACGACATGGTTGCCGCCGCGGCCGAATTCCAGCGATTCCAACACGAGTGCTCGTGCATGGATCGCGAAGATGCGCTCGCGACTCGAGTAAAGCTCCGTTGTGGCGCCTTCTCGTCAAAAACTACAAGATCTTTCTTCTGTTGACAAGTTTGCGTTTCGATTATTTAGATGCGACAGGGTGAACGGGACGACATGGAGCGGGCGCGCAAGGCAATGTTTCGCGAACAAGCGCGACAGGTGTACGAAGTGCGCAAGGTCAAAAAGCAAGAGGAGGCGAGAACCGCGCTCAAGAAGGAGCGCGAACACGCCAAGGCGCAGCTAGCCCAAGCGGCGTGGACTGACATTGAGCAAATGGCCGTAGCCAAGGCGCGGGCGGCGGCAGAGGAGTGGCTGCAGTCCCCCCAAGGTAAGCGAAGCATCTACTGTATGTATGTACATATCGGGCCATTTCAACTGTGTGTCAGGACAAGTCGAGCTCCACACGGCCGCGACCGACATCTACGAAGACCCGCCCACGAACGTGGCCAAGATGCTACAGACGGACTCGACGTATTCCAACGTTCCCGACTGCGTGTGGGTCTGCCGCCTCGAGAACATTGGCGGCCGCCACGCCAAGGTGGTCATCATCGTCCATCGCATCATGGGATGTAGGATGGTTTGAGATCTAACCTGTTGGAATAGGCATACTTTTACCATACCCAGCGGCTAGAAAAAGTCTTGTGCGACGACCTGACGATGAAGTCGTCCGTCGTGATTGCGTCGGAACACTTGATCCAGGCAAGAATCAACGCCATGAAGGCGCAGTTGGCCCAGCGCGGGCAAGAAGAGCAGGCCAAGTTCACAAGAAATGCCGCCGCCAAGCGCATCCAAATGCTGTTCCGGTGCCGCCAGGCGCGCAAATACGTCCGCAGCCTTCTTCGGTATATACAGTGCCACATGCTGCTCCATTGGGCACTTTGCCTTTTCTTCACATGCATGCTGCCATTCATGTTGTTCTCTTATCGGTAGTCCACTCGTGATGAAGCGAATCGACGCCGCGACGGGGCGGTTGGTGTACTTCAACATCCAAGAACGCAAGACGTCGCCTGTGCCACCTCGTCTCATGGGCGCGGCCGAAGCGACGCTGCCAGTCGAGTCGGCGACTTGGGTGCGGCGGCTGGACGCAGACAGCGGCGACCAGTACTACATGGACGTGTCCACCGGCGTCACGTCGTGGAACCCGCCCAACTCGTACGTGATGTGCAAGAAATGCAAAATCAACTTTTGCACGTCGCGCAATACCGAGACCGGAGAGCGGTTGTGCGTGTCGTGCTACGCAGAAGTGGCGCAGCTGCAGCGGCAAGCCGACAAGGCGGCCCGGGCAGCGAGCTCCATCAAGCCAGACGACGACAACAAGTCGACGTGGACACGGATTGCGGTCGTGCCGTCCAAGTGCTGTGTGTGCAAAGTCAACAATGGCGAGCGACTGTGCCACGAGTGCCGTGGTGACATCACGTGCGCGCGGTGCTTTGCCACATTGCACAAGAACCCAAAGCTCAAGCACCACATCCAGCACGAGTCGCTCGTGTACTCCGATCTGCAGTAGCATGATGGTTTCGATGTGAGGATTGTCCATCAGGGCCGGATGTGTCCGAGTATAATCATGGTATGCAAACTCATCCCAATGGCAACCACGCTTGAATACAGAAATTTGTTAAATAGAAAAACACGTTATCGAAAGTAGATCGCGACGTCGTGCTAGACGTCGCGCTTGCCAAAGACTGACGTCCATACGTCGGCATGATCTTTGAGCGGAGGTAGACTTGGGGACGAAGCGGCAGACTCGACGGGGGGATCCTCTCGAAAGCAATCAGGTGGGGTCGCGCCAAACACGGTGCCCCACAAGTCCACGGGGTCCTCTTCCCCTGACACATCGTTCTCTGTGTCGGATACACTCGAGTCATGTACCGAAGCCTTGGGTTTCTTTGCCCCAAACACGTTGCTCCACAGGTCAACTTCGGTTTCTTCAGCGATATCGTCAACTTTGGCAACGACCTCGTAGGCAAAGTTGGTGGTACATACATCGTCTTCTACGACTGAGTCCTCATCCATCGACGCAGACGAAGACTTGGCGCCAAACACGGTGCGCCACAGGTCGACTTCTTTGCTCGAGGTGGCAGTGCGCAAAAGGTCGACGGACGCGTCAGATGTGTCATCCCCGTCCTGGGGATTCGCGCGGCGCACCATCGCAACACATCTTACACCAATGGGACGTCGGGCGCCCGCGGTAGTGGCAAACGGGGCGCATCGGAGGAGGGTTCGAGCAGCGTGCATGAGTCGTTCGATTCGCGAGTGAAGAATTTCGCGAATTAGAATGCCAAAGCTCCGCCAATGTGATTGGTGGATTTGAAGTAGAAAGAATACCACGTTGAAGCGTCATAGGTCGGATTTCTATATCGCTCTGTGATTGGCTGAAATGAACCAATCCAGATGCTTGAAGCATCCGGATACCGTGTCTTTGTCCCGACAACTTCAACTTGGCAACTGTTTTTTGCCGCGCGGCTGTTCGACCATCGGATCTCTGGAGATACCACGAAGCAAAGGAATGAATGCCCACATACATGCGACTTCTCATCCTCAGCTGCTGTACTTGAAGGCAATGCCGACTCTTTACAGTAGTGTTGACTATGAATAGATTAATTACTGTGTAGTATAACGTTACTTAAATAGAACGCGGCTAAACTCAATCGTGCGCGACTTCACTGTGGGTACCAAAGACTACCCCCCAAATGTCGGCTCGTGCCTTGTCTTGGTCGATGGTCCCATCCATGGACAGTCGGCGACGTGGTTGTTTGTCCAAGGCCTGGTCAGATCCTTGATTAAGAATTCCTCCCGAGGATGTTTCTACTGACGACGGGGACACTGGGGGCTTTCCAAGTCGCGCGGAAAGGTCGCGCGTGGGCACCCGTGAGATTGCACGGCGTAGCATGAGCAAGTTGTGTGAGGTTGCAAAGTGAACACATGAACCCGAAAAGCCATCCCTACAGAACAAGCAGTTGATTGGCTCCTGAGGGGCAGGACTTTGGCCACCGCGTCGTGTCATTGGCAACCTCTCCGGATTGCACCAATCAAAGTGTCCTTTCATGAACTTCATGCCAATCATATGGTTTTGTGATTGGCTTGAAGTTCAGGAAAGGACACTATTAATAGTTCCATTTGCACGTTGGATTTTCCTCTGACCAATAATCACAGCCCAAATTGAATTCACAGTCAGCAAGTCCAACGTTCCAAAACCTGGTGGACTCGAAAAACATAACGTTAATAGTTTACCAATGCCATCGTTTATCCTTGAAATGACCTGAACCGCTCCCAGGACTGTAGGCCACCATTCGTGCGGCGATTTACTGTAAGGTTAACGTCGAGTGTGAATATGACCTAATCAAATCACACGACACTGATATTTTAGGCCAATAGTGCGTGTTTCTTGCGATATTGGGCAACTCTGACATATTTTGCTGGAGAAAATATGACAATATGTACGCCATTCATACATCATGTACATTGACATACAATTGTACGAGTGATTCCAACTTTACTTGAATTTACTAACACGTCACAACTACTTGTTAGTAAAGTTGGAATTGTACGTAATGTACAGTACATTGTATTGCGTACGAGCACCTTCTCGCGCCGAGAGAACTGTCGATCGCCAGCCTCGAAGCATGTTGCGTTGCGCATGCCTGTGCAATGAAGACGACAACGCGGTGGGCTTAACGACCCGACGGAGAAACCAGCCGTCGTCGTCGCCGTCATCGCCGTCGAGTTATGCCAGATTTAGCCATGAAGCCAAGACATCGTTGGAGAGTTTCCAACTAGATAACACGGCCTCGTCGTCGTCGCGGCCATCACACAAGGACACGATTGATTCGCCCACGTTGAAGGACTACACCCAGCACATGGCGTCCACGACATTAGCTTCGGACTGGCAGGAAATGCGAAGTCGTGACGTGGGTCATGCTACAGCCACGCCAGTTTTCTTGAAGAAACAACCAGTGTCACCTCCGAAAGCCAACACCCCAAAGCAGCCTGCCAATGTGAGTCCGGTGCGACGTGATGACCGTCAAGTGGGGTCATTGTACCGCACGTATTCGTCGTCAGAGGTCGCAGCCGACGGAGACCCGCACTCGATTGTGCTCGTTCGAGTGCCTCCAGGACCCACTGGCCTCGTGCTGCGACCCCACACATCGGCCCCCGTTGTGGTTGACGGGTTCGAACCAGTGTACACTTCCGAGTACCCGTCAGGAGGACCAGGGCCGATCGAATCCAGTGACGAAGATGTCGGCCCTGGTAGTCTCTTGGTGGCTATCGACAACGTGTCGCTCCTGAATGCTTCTTATGCCGACGTCGTAGCACTGTTACAGGCCACGGACGGCAACGCATGGCGGGAGTTTGTGTTTCAAACGTATGCGTCCGAGTAAAACCAGGTGATCATGTTCGAGGCTGAGTACTGTACATAACCAAGTCCTTTTGTAACTGTGACCAAGGCAGTGGCGACGGTGGGGGTTGGAAGTGACGATATGCATCAAGGATGTTTCGGCATGTATTGCCGATTTTCTTCAAATTTCCCAATTTTCAAACATGGGTCGTTCAATCGAACACAATCGAACATCTGATTGGCTAATATCCTTTTCGCCCTTTATGGATTGTAGCCAATCAGCAACAAGTATTGTCTTATTGACCAATGGGAGAGATTGACATTCGATTGAACGGGGTCCGAATCTCCTATATCTAAATGTCAAAAGCAATCCAAACTCGACCTTCTAACTCGTCGTTCTATTCAATGCATCGCGTCTACTTAGTCGTGTTCCTTCTTGTCGTGCTTGGTCGCATCGGTTGATGTCTTGTCACTGTTGGTTGCATCGTCCTTGGCAGGTTTGGGAGCGTCCTCGGCGGCGGCGGCGGCCTTGGCCTTCTTCTCCTCTTCATGACGGTCGGCATTCTGCCACGACTCTTCCACAAACTCAGTGTACGTCTTATTTCCGCCGTATGGACGCGGGCCCAGCACGCGAACAATGTCGCTGTGGTTGATCGTTTCGTTCTCCATCAGCTCCTCGCTCAGCTTGACGAGCAGATCTTGCTTGGACACGAGCAGGTCGATCGTGCGCTTGTACGCGCGGTCCACGATCTTCTTGACCTCTTCGTCCATCAGTTCCGCGGTCCGCTCGCTGTACATGCGCGGCTCGCCCGGCGCGTTTTCGTCGCGGGGAAAGCTCAGCTGCCCGATGCGCGAGTTCATCCCGTATAGTTGCACCATCGAGTAGGCCATTTGGGTCACGCGACGCAAATCTACAATCGAATCAGAAACAACAAACGATTCAAGTCACTCGACTCGACGTACCGTCTGACGCGCCGGTCGTGATGCGGCCGTCAAAGTTGACATACTCCGACGCGCGCCCCCCCAGCGCCATGCACATGATGTCTTCGATGGCTTCCTGGCTATGCAGCGACACCTCCTTGGGAAGGTACTGCGCGTACCCCAACGAGCCCTTGCCGCGGGGCACGATGGTCACCTTGAGCAGCGGGTCCGCATGCTCCAAGAACCAGCCCGTGACCGCGTGCCCCGCCTCGTGGTACGCGACCGTCTTCTTCTCCTCGGGTGTCATGAGTCGGTTGGTTTCGAGCCCGCCAATCACGCGGTCCGTGGCCTGTTCAAAGTCCTTAAAGTTGATCGAATCGCCCAGGCGCCGGGCGGCCACGATCGCAGCTTCGTTGCAAATGTTGGCTATGTCCGCACCCGTGAACCCCGGGGTCAGCGCCGCCATGCGCCGCGCAAAGTCGTCGACCGATCCGTCCAAATGCAGATTTTTCAAGTGCACTTTGAAAATCTCGCGGCGACCCTACCCCCCGTCACATATGTGAGTAATGTTTGCTAAAGCTGGTGTACCTTGATGTCGGGCTTGTCGACGGTGATTTGGCGATCAAATCGACCTGGACGCAGGATCGCCTTGTCCAAAATGTCGACGCGGTTGGTCCCGGCGAGCACCACGACCCCCTCGCTCGAACTGAACCCGTCCATCTCGACCAGCAGCTGGTTGAGCGTGTTTTCGCGCTCGTCGTTGCCGCCGCCAAAGCGACCGCTGGACCGCGCGCGCGCGACGGCGTCGATTTCGTCGATAAAGACAATGCAAGGCGCGTTGGCTCTACACACGATATAAGAGTCATGAAATCCAAAGCAACCAACCGACCTGGCTTCTTTGAACAAGTCGCGGACGCGGGACGGCCCCACGCCCACAAACATTTCGATGAAATCCGACCCGGAAATGCTGTAAAACGGCACACTCGCTTCGCCGGCCGTCGCCTTGGCCAGCATCGTCTTGCCCGTGCCGGGGGGACCGACCAGCAGCGCGCCCTTGGGGATCTTGGCGCCGAGGTCGGTGAACTTTTTTTGGTTCTTGAGAAACTCGACAAACTCCATGATCTCCTTCTTGGCCTCGTCAACCCCGGCCACGTCCTTGAACGTGATCTTGATGTCTTCCTTGGTGATCTTCTTCGCAGGCGACTTGCCCACCTTGAAGATACCGCCCATGCCGCCGCCGCCGCCCGCGCCGCCGATGCCGCGCATAGACATCATCAAGAACCCAATCAAGAGCAACGTCGGCGCCATCTTGAGCAGCTCCATCTTCCAGTTCATTTCGTTCGAAAACTGAATGGGAATGTACGCCTGCGGCGGGATGCCCAAACTCGCTTGGGTTTGCTCCATTTGCCGCTCAAAGTTGTCGATGCTGCCAATGTTGAAGTAATAGCTCGGCGTCGGCGGTTGCGGCGCCGTGGCGGCAGCATGTTGCTGGTGGTCGCGCACTTCATGCAGGTCCGTGTGCGTGGCCGTGGACGACGGCGCATGCGAGTCCGCCGTCGTGGACGGGCGATGGAGGAACACGCGGGCATACGTTTTGTTGACCACGACAATGTGTTCCACCTAAAATATATAAATAATATATATATATATATCTTCGTGTGAGATAAGATTGAATCGATGTGAATAAAAAAAGCAAAGCAAACGATCAAGTAATCGGCTCTCGGTGGGTACCTTGCCTTGGGACAAGAGATCGTTGCGGAACTCTTGCCACGTGATCTCCTTGAGCGCGTTGTCGCCCGACGTCAGTTCCAGAAAGAGCAACAACGCGATGGCGATGGGGATCGTGTACATGAGCTGCTCTTTCGGGTCCGACCCGCCGGACGCGGACGAGCCGCCGCCACCCGAAGAAGGCTTGGGTTCCTCTTTCGGACCGTTGCCGGTTGCCTTCTTGTTGCCTGCGTTGGGCTTGCCTTCACCTTTCGCTCCCTTGGGGTAAAAGCGCTCAAACCCTGACACAGGCGCGTTATTTTACAGCGAAACACTTGTGATGGGGACGAACCTTTGGGAATGCGTTGGGACAGCCATGCGGAAAGGGACATTGGCGGCGGGTTGGTTCCCTGGCGTGCAAACTTTGCGCTAGTGTTCGTCGTGTGTGCACGGATGTTGGCACGTTTCCACGTATCCGCATGAGCGTGGCGATTGATTCGCTTCATGGTGTTGCTCACTTGCTACAGGTATGTCAGTGAACGAAGTTGAGGTCATTTGACGTACAGTGGACAATTGGTGCATCTCACGATTCGCGCAGTTTGCCCGCAGTGCACGAAGCAAGTCCTTCTCAAGGCGACGCGAGGACACAGCAAACATGGGGTTCGTGACGGCGGCTTCGCTCCAGAGATGCTGAACGATGCAAAGGCTTCTGGGTCGTCGGACTTGGCGGACGTCCGGCCTGAAATCGAGATGAGCGAGTGGTCAACATAATAGGGCCGTACGTACGATTCCCATACATTCGCGTACAATGAATGTACGAAACCGAGTTGGATCAAGCCGGGAATGTACGAGATCGTGTACTTGTGGTGTACGGTACAGTTTGGCATTCCATTTATCACAGACCATCACTCTACTTTTGAATTGACGAACATCCGCCACCCTCCGATGATTTTTACCAATAATATTCTTGCAAGTACCGTAAACTCAAACTGCCATTGATCTTCTGGCTGTGTTACGGAATCATCGCTTGACTACTTATACAGCGACCAAGAAGCTAACGTTGCATGTGCTTGTGTGTACTAGTACCTAGTACCAATCACGGTTTCATAGCTTGACTACAGACGGTCTGATTGTGAGTGATACTTGTATTAATAAGCATACTGGTACACCTCATTTAATAATAATGGCAAATCAATAGAAGAAATGAGATAATCAGAGCATTCTAATTTCAAGTATTATTACAGTACTAAAATATTTCGAAATAACCAGCTAATAATTGCATGCCATTCAATTGAACTCCATCCTCCCATTTCAACAGCACAACATGGCCGACGCCGCCGAGAATGAAAAGAAGTAGGTCGTGGACGACGATGCCCGTGTGATTCTCATCATGCATGCAGCCTAGGAAACGAAGAGTTCAATGCCAAGAACTACGAGCAAGCCATCCATCATTACACGCAGGCATGACGCCTCTCCCTCCTGCAAATCCCACATGACAAATATGTGTAGGCCATTAAGCTTGCGCCTACGAACCACATCTTTTATTCGAATCGAAGGTACGTTTCCTTCCCTTCAACTACCTACGTGCATGTAACATCTACTTGCAGTGCTGCGTACGGCGCTTTGAACAACTGGGAGAAGGCCGAAGCCGACGCACAAGAATGTGCGCGCCTTAACCCCAGCTTCAAAAAAGGTCCTCTCTCGTTGTCCAATTGTGCAGTCTTGTTTATACTCGTGCGACAGGTTTGCTTCGTTTGGCGAATGCACAGCGCCAACTGGGCAAGAACGAAGCCGCCATGGCGACTATGGCGCTGGCCAACGGCGGCGGCGTCCCCGCGAAGCGCGCCAAGCAAGAGTCTGCCGCGCCGCTGCCATCATCGGTGCAAAAGGAGTTGCAAGAGTTGCAGCCCCAATTCCAGTCCCTCCACCGCGAGTTGGAAACCGTACGTCCAGTCAGCCATCCCCTCCATCCGCATGACGCTGTCGCATAGATCGACTCCAAGTTGGGAGCGTACGGTCGTGAGAAGAAGCGCATTCAGCTGACCAAGGAAGAGCTGGGCGAATTGCCCACTGGAACGCGAACGTATGCGTCGATTGGTACGGCCATTTGCCGTCGCCGACGCTTGAATCGTTTAATATGCAAACAATACAATAGGAAAAATGTTTTTGGAAATGACACCCGAGGAAAATGTGGCTCGATTGGATGGCAATGCCGGCAAAGTGGACGATCAATTGGCTGCGTTGGAGGTAATATCTATATAATATATATAATATATATAAATATATGTTGTGGATTTGATAAAATCATGTATCGTGTAGGCCCGAAAGCAATATTTGGAGCGACAAAAGTCGTCGTTGGAAGCAAACATCTCGGAATTGCTGGCACAATGCAACACGACCGGCTAAAAGCCTATGGCAGTGTCGATTGATTGCGAATATGGCCATAGTACAGAGTAGTAGTCTTTGGGTCACGTAGTTAAATGCAGTGGTGCTGCTGGTTAGTCGTCTTCCTCTTCTTCTTCTGCTGTGAGACGCTTGTTGAGCTCTTCGATGACCTTTGTCAACTCGGCGTTCTTCTTCTTCAATTCTTCGTTCTCCAAACGCATGGCTTCCACGTCGACTCCCGTCGGCGCTCCCATGAAGCGCTTGATGTAATCCACGGCATTCGGCGGCTTGTCCGATTCTTCGTACAGGCCGACCAAGACCTTGGTCAACGAGTCAATCACGCCGCTCTTCTCCAAGTACTTGCGGAATTCTTCCTTCTTCGAGTCGGGGGTCTACAAGGCACCCATGTATACGTCGGTCATCCTGGAGAGTCACGTCCTACCTGGTACGCAGCGGGGGTCGCCATCCTGTGTTTGCTCGGTGCGTGATGCTCGTCAGCGCGTGGCACGGAGGGATTTGCAAGTGTCCTTTGGATCTTTCGGTTTTCGATGAATTCCATTGACCAATCAAAACCGACTTTCGAACATCTCAACGTGAAACCGACATTTCGCGGCAACAGCTCCTACTCGCCGCCGCGTTCACAGGATGTGGAGGGATACCCACCCAGCTGGCCAAGCATCAGGCGTGCCTCTACCTACTGGCACGTTTCGTGTTTGATAGAGCTTTGGTGTTGTCACACGTTCGTGCCGGCGGCAGCAGATATGTCACACGATTCTATTCCAGTGTAGCGTTGGTCACTCAAACCAAGGGCTTCATGTTGTGGTGTTCATAACGCATTAGTGAAAGTAGTAGTCACTGGCACCACAGACTCCCATATCTCGTTGCGACAAACTTAGTCAAGTTTGATGACAGCAAACTCACAGACTATACTGTATGGAGCAGTGTGAGCATTAAATAAACTGGGGGCAGCCCCTTATGGCGGCGCTCGAAGGACTGTGGAATCAGCAACGGGCCATTTTGACAAGATCCGTCGACAGTACTTTTTCACCAAGTCGTCTGTCGAGTCGTCGCACAGGCCTTGGAGGGAATGACCAAACAAGGCGTCGGTGGACGTCATGGACTGCCGACAGAGCTCATATTCACACAGGTTTCCGAGTGAGAAGAGCGCGATGCGGCGGGTGCCGAGGTCGGTTTCGTCGAACGCGCATTCGAGCAGGCTGTACGGGGCATGGTGCACGACCAGGTCCACGCAACACGTGGCCGACTGTCGCACGAGGTTGCCGAGCGCCGCCGCCGCGTTGGACCTGGTCTTGACGTCGGGGTCGTGCAGGTGGTGCACCAGGTGGGGGATCGCCGGCTGCAGCGCTCGCGATAGCTGGTCCGTGTAGAACGCTGCGTTACCAATGGCGAAGCATGCATACCGCCGGGTGAGGACGTCCCCCGGGTCTTGCACGCATGTTAGCAGTCCGTCGACGAGGCTGGTTTGGGTGGGGGGAAGCGGTTGGGCAAAGTGGTCGTAAAAGTGATTCGAGTGGCGGCTGAGGTTGCCTACACAGTTGCACGCTTTGGCTCGGAGGGTTGGGTCCGGCGACTGCAGCAAGTCGCGCAGTTCAGGCATGAGGTTGGCCGCATCAATGCTGGCGTAGTGCGCGCGCGACGACCGAGCGATGTGAGACAGCAGCACGAGGGCGTCCTGGACGAGATGGGGCGGCGTCGTGGCGGGTTCAAGTAGCCGCTGCGACTTGACCAGCGCCAGCCCGTGGGCGTCGACGAATTGCACGGCAAAGTGGGGGGAACTAGTGACGAGGCGGGCGAGAAACTTGACCAGCAGCTCCATTTCCAAAGCGTGCTGGCTAAGGATGCCCAGGAGGAGCCCCACACACCCCGACTCGTACAAAAGCTCTTGCGTGCGAAACACGAGCTCCTCGGATACGTCTGCGAGCATAAATGGCATGCTCACGATCTTGACGATGGCGTGCACCATGGCCTTGACGGCTTGCAGTCCGCCGCCGACGACATCGGGCCACACAAGCAGGTGCTGGATGTGAGCAGGTCGAAGCAGCGACACGAGGAGCGGCACCAGCGTGCGCTGGCGTTCCAAATGTGGCGGTAAAAACTGATCGGTTTCCGTCATGTGTTCAGTCAAAGACCGGATGAGCTTGAGCAGGCAAAAGAGACCCCACGGGGAGAGCCCGTCGTCGCCACCCGACTCTAGCAATGCACAAAACACAGTCCAATGGTCGTGGGTTTCCAAATCAATGAGCACTTGGTGGACCAGATCGGAGTGGCCATGCTTCATCAGCGACGCCACGACACGGTACAGCACGATCACGCAACTGTCGGCAACGCCCGACGCCCGCAGTCCAAAGCAATTCAGCAGATCGTGGACCCTCGCACTCGAATGATGTTTAGGCAAGAAGAGAAGCGGAACCAAATCCACGGCCGCCATCGCAACAGACTCGTCGCCTTCCACTGTTTCAGAGAGCAGGCTGCACGCGGCGCTGTGATGCAAAGCATGCCGCGGCCGCCGCGCCATTTCGTGGCGGAAGAGCGCCGACGAGGTCCGTGTCGATAAGACCCCGCGGCGCTGGCACACGGCCAAACACTCGAGTGCAAAGTACCGTTCGGACCGATTCAGTCGGTCCAGAACCGTGTGGAACTGCTGGACCGTCGCGGCCGCTCGTTTCGACACGGGCGACGACACGCGGCAGCTGTAAAAGAGCACTTTGAGCACATTCGTGAGCATCGTGTGGGGATCATCGTCGTCGTCGTCCGCTTCGTCACATGCTTGGGCCGTGGCTAACTCGACGTTTACGTTGGCCAAGAGAGGTTCCAACCCAGCTTTGAACAGCGCCGTGGACACGTCCGTGTGCAGTTTGATGCGCAATGCGTACGTAGATCGCAACCTCTGGAGCTTGTCAGGGCTACTTGCCGCCGACGACAACGACGCGGCGGAGGTGACTGGGAACGGCATGTCGACATCCCAGAATGCTTCATTTGGATGCACAAGCGACGCCAGGGCGAACACAGCATACGTGGCAATGGTGGCATCGTGGTGACCCAGCAAACCACACAGCATCGGAATGAGCTCGGGCTTGTCGTGAGCTATGGCATCGTAGACCACGACCGACTTGTCCGCATGGTCCAAGGTCGTGCCCAACCACTTGAGGACTTTGGACAGCAGCGGCACGTCCGCCACGACGACGTTGGTTTCCTGCAGCAGCCACACGATTCCACCGATTTCGAGGGCACAGTTGCTGTCTGGGCCCTCGCGCCCAACAGGCAACATCAGCGATCGAATCATTTGCAGCGCATTGTCTCGGCTAGTGTGCATCATGATGCGAGGGAGGTGGCCGAGGAAGGCGGCGCGAAGGGCGTGGACGACGGTCACGTGGGCGGCGCTCAGTGGGTGGCTTGCCTTGGACACTTGTTGCAGCGCTCGATGCACCACGTACAGCGCCGTGCGAAGACATGCCATGTCCTCGCCCATCAGCGCTTGGGTCACATGCACGAGCAGGTGGGGGGCGTCGAGCAGCCGCACGAACCCAGCGTCCAGGCCAGCCGTGTCGGCTTCGTATGTCTTCCAGACATGCATCATATCTTCAACTTGCGACGGCATGCGGACTTCGTCGTGGCTTTTTTGGTTGGTTCGCAAGACTAGGCTTGTTTCGGGGTCCACTAGCTTCCACTCGACGCTTCGCTGGAGGGCGTCGTTTTTGTTCGCGAGCAACCGGAGGTTTTCTTCGTAGAATGTAGGGAGTCGGCGCACTTGACGCTCGAGCGCCTCGCGGTTCTGCATCTGCACCGCGGTTTCCCGTGCGAACGGATGCTGCAGGATCTCGGGCCACGTCATGCGCTTCGCCGGGTCTTTTTGAAGCAGCCCCGATAGAAAGCTCTTGAACTCGTCGCTCATGGTCTCGGGGTACTTGACGTTCTCGTTGACGATCAGCTGAATCAGCGACACGATCTTGTCAGTGTAGAACGGCGGTCGCCCCACCGCGAGCTCGTACAAGATGACCCCGAGCGACCACAAGTCCACCGTGTGATTGTACGGTTGTTCCTTGACCAGTTCTGGCGCCATGTACAACGGCGTACCTTTGATAGACGTCAGCACGTTCGTGTCTGCGGAAATTGCGCGCGCAAACCCAAAGTCACACAGTTTGATCTGTTGTTTGGGGCCGACAAGGATGTTCTGTGGCTTCATGTCGCGGTGGATGATGCGGTTCGTGTGAAGGTAGTGCAGCGCTTGTATCAGCTGCACCGCTATCTTCTTGATCTCGTCTTCAGGCAATTGGTGGTCGTCTTCGAGGATCTGAAACAGCTCGCCTGGCGCGTACTCGGTGACCATGCAGAATTCGCCCTCAGTTTCGAAGGAATCCAGCATTGCAATCACGTTGGAGTGATTCAATCCACGCAAGATGCTGATCTAATGTGGTCACAACACCAAGGTATGAATTGCATGCATGCAAGAACGAGCACGCGATTGAACGCACCTCCTGGCGCAAATTTGACATGTTCTTCTCCGATTTGCCTCTCTTGGACACAAATTTGAGCGCAACGACGTGGCCAGAGTACTTTCTCCTCCCGCGATAAACCTTGCCAAATGATCCTTCGCCAACGCGTTCCAATATGTGATAGTTCTGCATCCACGACTGGACTCCGCGCCGACAGCTCGCCCTAGTGAACCTTGGTTCCAAAATAAGATCACCTGATCCGGATAATATATGTCAAAAATCCATCGATACTCAGTAACTTGGGTATCCGGGAAATCGAAGCGTGTGTATCCGGACGGAATCTCCAAAGGTCGCCAACCCAAGTAGATTTCACCTAGTCGAGGAGCGGTGCCGCGAGCTTCAGTGTGTCTACCTGGGGCTAACTCGCTTAAGTCCCATGGCTGGAATGCAGCGAAGAAGATGGAATGTCCATCTTCTATACCTTCTCGCGCTCCTGGTGTTGCCGATGCAAGCGTCTGTGTTTTATCCCGAGGACGTACCAGGCGTCCCTACAAGCTTGCTCGTCCTTCCCGCTAGTCCGTCGACCCTACGCGTCCAAGTGCAGCCTCCCAGTGGGATCAAGCCCCTTGGAAGCAATGGCGATCCTGTTTTGGGTTACAAAATCGATGTCGCGACCCACGTTGCTGCCGTCCAAACGTTTTCGATACAATCACCCGACGGCCCCATCACTGGTGGGTCGTATCGTGTTTCGTTCACCAACTCCTTCGGCACCGCGACGTCTGCCTCATGCATTCCATGGGACGCCACTAGCGACGTCTTTAGTATGGCGTTGCAGTCCTTGACCAACATCGACGGTGTCTTCGTCACCCGCTCTGCCTTCGGTGCAGTGCCTCAAGGCTATGTTTACACCATCACATTTACTGGCGCCGTGTTGGCCAACGGCGCTCAAAACCAGCTTGTATCTGGGAGTGCGACCACATGCTCTCCGTTCCTGCCTCCGAATCATCGCGTGACGCTCGCTGGTGCCCAAAGCACCACCGCGGGCAACGTTGGGTTCGTGCCCGAAGTGTGGCAACTAACGACCTCCGAATCCTCCCTCTTACAAGGCATCAGTGGCACGTTCGATCTGTCAGTGGGCTTTGAAGGTGTCATGACGAGCCTCGGAAAGGTTGTCAGTGTCAACGCTGGTGCCAAATTTGCCACAACAACAGTGGCCAACTCGTTGGTTGGCGTCGTGAGCCGAGGCGAAGTGATTTCGATCGGTGGCGAGCGATTCCGAGTCCACGCCACTGCTCCGTTCACGGACACCGTGGTGCCGCTGGACTCGAAACACATTCGAGGTGCGAACAACGTGGCCGTGTTCGGAATGGACACAATCGTGGGGCGGGTGTCTGTGGTGCAGGGCAACCCAGTTGCCACCACTGCCGCAGACTACACGGGAGTCCTTGCAGTCGGCGATTCCATTCAAGTAGCAGGGGTCGAATTCACGGTGAACGCCATCATCGCCACAGAAGTGACGTTCGGCCTGGTCTCCGACGCCACCACGACGTCCAACTGGCCAACCACTTCGGACACGCACGTGACGTTATTGAAGCGAAAGAAGGCGACTTTCAAAGCGGATGCCGATCCGTCTGAGGTGGTGGCAGGATTGCAGAGCCTGCCAGGTGTAGGATCGGTGCAAGTGACCCGCGTCGGCCCCACCGCCCAACGCGGCTACCAGTGGCTCATGACGTTCTTGTCCCTCGGACCAACGACCTGTCCCCACTCTCCGTGTCTTCGGCTGGACGCACACTTGGTCAACGAGTACGCCGCGGCATGTATCACGTGTAGCGCGGCACTTGTGCGCGTTCGCGCTGGTGTGCTTCCCGACTTCTCGCGGCTCCTTGGGTCAACAGAAATCGGAGGTGCTGTGCTGGAAGTGCAGTCCATTGTCGTGTCTGGTGCATCCCCAGACGTCGCGGTCGTACCGCTTGGCGGGTACTTTTACATTGACTTCCAATCGTACTACCAGTCTCCAGCTTCTACCGGCGTGCTCGTCAAGTTCGACGACACCGCAGACGACGTGACCACCAAATTGCAATCCTTGCCCACAATCGGCACCGTGACTGTCACACGCACCGTTATCGGTACTGGCTTCCAGTGGTTGGTGACGTTTGTGTCGAATATGGGAGACCAGCCGTTGCTGACTGTAAACGGAGGGCTTCTCATTGGAACCAATGCAGCCGTGGCGGTGGTGGAGGTCACCAAGGGCGTGGCGCCGCAGTTCGAAGCCGTTCTTGCCGGATTACCATCGAGCACGTCGCTGATTGTTCGAGCGTTTGCTAAAAACGCCAAGGGGTACGGGGCTAGCTCCGACACGATGCAGCAATATGGTCGCGGGGCGTCGAGCTTGGCCACAAAATTGCTCGACACGCCAGCCGCCCCCTCGATTTCCAAGATTTGGCCCGTGTCGTTTTCACAGCTTGGCATTTCGTTTACGCCTTCAGATGCGGCGGGGGGAACGATCAAAACCTTCCGACTGGAGGCGACCCCCGACGCCGCGTTCGGCGTCCCCCACGTCATTGCGATCGATATCTCGAACCCTGTCCCAAACGACACGTATGGGACGTTTCAATTGACATACGGCGGACGCACGACCCAGCTGTTGACGAGCGACGCTTCGGCGGCGACGGTCCAGGCGGCCATCAACGCAATGCCCAACCTTCGACCTGTTTCAGTGACCCGATCGCTATATGTGTTCTTGGGCACGGTCGCGAGTCAAGTGACCGCGTATTCTGCGACCTTGACCACACTCACGACCACCGCGCTGTCCCAAGCCCACGTCTCGCTGTTGCCCGTGGGAGCTCGCGTAATGGTCAATCTGGCCGAGTTTACCGTCGCCGTCGTCCCTAGTGTGGGAGCCACCACGGTCAAGGTGACGCCCGTCGTTGCAACCACAACCAACTTTGCTGGGTTGTTTTCCATGCTCCGTACCGACAGTTCTGGGGCGTTAGCAGGTTCGTTTGGGTACCGCTGGCAGGTAACTTTTTCGGACGAGCCGTTCGGGATTGACATGCTCACGGCCGACAAGTGGGCCGTCACATCGTCCACGTTGGCGTCCGTCGCGGGGTCTGGCAGCTTGCTTTCGTCCTACGCCATCACCACGGTAACCGCCCCCACTGGCCCCACGCACTACGCGCCCCTTGAGCTCAGCACCGAGCCGTGGTGCAACACTTACGTGGTAGGCACGTCATCCCCTACTCAAGTGGTCGAGTTCTTTGCTTCTACGACCATCACGGCTGGATCGTTCGCACTCACGTTGGGCCAAGAAACGACGGCTTGTATTTCATTCGACGCGCCAGCAAGTGGCACTCCGACGTCTGTAAAATCGCGTCTCGAAGCTCTCGATGCCGTCAACACAGTGTCTGTCGAGGACCTGATCAAGTTCAAAACCATGCTGCTTCCTGGCTCGGCCACGTCAAAGGTGACGACGTACGACAGCGTGGCCAGCGTGCTGACGCTCGGCGTCGGCGGACTCACGCAGGCCCAAGCCGATGCGCTGCCAGTCGGCACGCTCATCCGCGTAGCTAAGAGCCCATGGGACGTCTACCAAGACTACTGCGACTTTTCCGTGGGGACCGCCGCCGCCTTGAACGACGTGACGCTCGCCGTCAATCTGATCAATCCCACCACGACCACTTGCGCTTCGTTCAGTGGAGACGCCCGAACGTTAGCTATTTTCGACATGAAGGGGTACCGGATTGTGTTTCAAGGCGACCACTCGACTGGAAAGTGGCCGACGCTACGAGTCTCGACCGCTGGCACAGCTCCATGTGCCGCATTTTCCCCCGTGGTGCCAATTCGAAGTCGTGTGCAAACCATCAAGTACGAAGGGGCGTGTGCCGCGGGCAGTCCGGAAGTGCAGACGGTGATCGCAGACGCTGATTCAGCCATGGGGGGTACGTTCACGCTGTCGTACCGAGGCCAGGTAACCCCGCCATTGGGGGTCGCATCTGTTTCCGTTAACGCCATGCGTGCTGCCGTCCAAGCGTTGATGCCGACATCGACGGCGGTGTCGGTGACCACGAACCAGCACAACACGTTCGGCCGCGCATGGCAGATCACATTTTCCGCCGCCGCGGACGACACCATCGACGTATTCGTGCTGGACGACTCGTTCGTCACGGGCATGAGCTCGGAAATGCACCTATACCCGGCCGTGGAGTTTGTATCGACGTCGCAGGCCAACTCGTTGCGGGGGTCGTTTACGATTGCCTTGGGTGGCGAAGTCACGGGGGCCCTGGGGTGTGCCGCTACTTTGGGCAAAGTCATCCAAGCGCTAGAAAGCCTCAACTCGATCTACACGGTTTTGCCCGTCGCAAACTCCGCGTCAGATCCTAATCAAGTGGGATTCACCCAACTCGCACTCACCGTCACGGCCACCGCTGGGTCCAACGTGTTGACAGTCGTCAAGTACCAAGGAGCGGCCATTGACCCGAGTTTGTATGTGGCGATTGGCGACCGGATTACCGTCGGAGCCGAACCCCACGTCGTGATCGGGGTCTCGTCCGGCGACATCACGCTGGACCAGAATATGGTCGCAGGGGGGGCCAATGTTAATGCGAACGCGGGGCTGCTGCTGTCGTCGACGACGCCGGCGGACGGGGTGGCGTCCACGCTGACTCCCACGGCTTCGATCGTGACGGCAACCGTCGGCTCGCCTACTATCGTGCTGGCTACTGGGCACGGCTGGGTCTTGAACGACGTTGTATCGATTGGAACGTCGAGTTACTCAGTGCTTGCAGTCAATATGGACGGGGTGACGGTCACTCTTGCGTCAAACTATGCCGGCCCAGCCATCGTGGCATCGGTGCCGGTGGTTTTCGGTATCAAAAACACCCTTTTGACCACCGCAGACTTGGGATTAGCGGCTGGGGACAAAGTCTGGTACACGTGGACCGACGGGTCGACCAGCGAGTTCTTGGTCGTGACCTCATCCCCCAGGCGACTGACGGTTACTGGGGTGCTGAAAGAGGCGATTTTCATGGGCACGTTGCGCGTCAATGGTGGAGGATTCCGATACCCGATTGTGTTTAAGTCCATTTCGAGCGATCTTGCTACGATTGATGCGTACCCCAACCCTGACTGGAGCGGCTACGCTGCTCGTTTGAAGACCATTCGACCGCAGCTAGTGCAGCCCTACACGTTCACACTGGGCAATCCGTCTCAAATCCAAACGGTCAAGTTGAGTGCAAGCACAGCCGGGGCGGTGGGCACGGGGGGGACGTACACACTGTCCTTTCGCGGAGAAACCACCGCACCGATTGCATGGGCTGCAACGCCCGCCGCGATCAAAGCCGCCCTGGAACTCCTCACTGTCATTAACGGTGTGTCTGTGACGTCGCTGGCGCTGGGCAACGGATTCATGCACACTCTGACCCTGTGGGGCTGGAATTACGACATCCGGTACCTGCCATTGCTCACGTCAGCCTTTCAAGTCGGCGCGGGTGGAGACGCCACTCAGATTTCCATTGTTCACCACGTGATGCAACCTACATACCCGTACACGCCGAGCTGGCCGCAATACACGAGTTTAAGCGCGGCAACCCCCTACATCCTTCGAGTGGTCGCAAAGAACGAAGTCGGATTTGGATTGTCCAGCGCGTTGACGACGGCATCGACCGCCATGACCGCCGTCCTCCCGTCGCCCCCTCGAGGGGTCACCTTGGGCAACTCGCACGGCGTCGACTGGCTTGGAGTTACGTACACGGCTCCAAAATACAATGGCGGGGCTGCCATCAACATGTACCGCATCGAGTGGGATGCGTCCTCCGAGTTTGACAGTACCGGTCCCGACTTTCATTACCAAATCGTTCAACAACAATTCGAAGTGCAAGAAGTTCTGTCGAGTTTCAGAAGGTACAAATGTCGCTCAGTATATATAGTTTCGTGTGATCCATACATGGCTTGAAATTCTAGTGCGGTGGGCCAAGGGGGTACGTTCACACTGGCGTTTGGAGGGTTCACGACCAACCCGATGCCGGCGGCGTGCACGGCGGCTCAAATGACTGCCGAACTGACGTCCATCACGGGCAATGTCAAGACGGAAGGGTCTCCTATCAAAGTGACACGCACGGCTGTCGGATGGGGCTACTCTTGGAAAGTCACGTTCATGGCCAACTTGGGCAACCTCGCCCGGCTCCGCGTCGATGCGAGCATGCTGCAAGGCGACTTTGCCCAGGTGGCGGTGCGCGAAATCACGCCAGGCGTCCAAGACATTGTCCCGGGGGACTTCACGTACGAAGTGCAAGACATTTACACGAGCGCGGCGTCGCCATTGGCAGGGACGTTTGTGCTGTCGTTTCATGGCGTGTTCACATCGCCCATCTCCGTGTCGGCCACCGCGTTGGAAATGCAACGGGCGCTCCAAGCGTTGACCACCATCTACTCGGCAAAAGTTACGAAAACGGTCCTGAGTCCGGCGCTTCAGACGGCCGTGTGGTCTGTCACATTTGCCCACGTGGAAAACAACGTGCTGGTGGGATCAGGCAACATTTTCCGCATGATCGTCGAGTCCACGGCGCTCACCAGCGGGACGTTGGGCAGCGTGGCAGTGGCCGAGCGAGTGAAAGGCACGAATCCGTTCCAATTCCGCGCCACGGGGCTCGTCACAGGCACGACCTACTACGTTCGAGTGATGGCGTACAACTCGCAAGGGTTTGGGTCCAACTCGTCGCCGTTCGCTGCAGGGGTCCCCCGGACTCAGCCGGGGCCGCCATCAAACGTCGTCACAAACGTGCAAGACAGCACAACACTCCACGTGGCTTGGGGGCCGCCGAGCGTCACTGGCGGGGCGCTAGTCGACCAATACAAAGTCGAATGGTTCCGGGCCCCAGGTCTCCCTGTCGAACAAACGATTACAACGTCAGCCACACGGGGTATTCAAGAGATCCAACAAATCACCAGTTTTGCAAGTACACCGAGTTTGGGCGGGCACTTCAAGCTCACGTATCAAGGCTACACCACCGCCAACATTGCTTGGAATGCGCTGGCCACTGGTGCAGGGTCCGTGAAGGAACGCCTGGAGCGTATTCCCACACTCGGCGCGGTGTACGTGTCTCGCACGACGTCGCTCACGACCGTCGCAAACCTGTACGTAATTCTGGCGACGACCACCACCGCTGTCGCGCAGGCCCCGATCACTGATGTGGCCACATGCTGTGGATTTGCCATTGGAAATACATTGGTTGTGGCAGGCCAGACGCGCACGATTGCTGGCCTCGCAGCCGGCGGCACCACCATCACGTTGAGTGCGGATGCCGCCACCACCACCGTACCCGTGCAAGTGTACCGCAGTGCCAATGGATTTCAATGGACCATCACGTTTGGTCCCATGCATGTGGGCGACGTGCTACCTTTGATAGTCACGCCTAGCGACAATTGGGGCGGTAGTTCCCCCGGAATTTACGTGTCCACGGTCCAAGATGGCATCGCTCCGATCGGCGGCACGTTCCGTCTGACAGTTCCGCTGTCTGTGAATGGCGTGATCATGTCGGAACAGACGCCGGCCTTGCCGTTTGACATTTCGGGTGCAGACATGAAAGTCGCCCTGGAATCCCTCTCTACGGTGTCTGTCGTCGACGTCACGCGCAGTGTCAACGGGTATGGGTTCAACTGGTTTGTCAAATTCTCCAGTGAATCTGCCACAGACGTACAGCTGATCGCACTGGATGGCGAAGGCCTGACCGGGCCAAGTGTAGCCATCGCAGCGTCCATCACGCAGCCTGGCACCTCGCCAACCTTGTACTGCGAAGCCAGTGGCGTTGCAGGCACTTGCCACGGCGTCTCCGCCACCTTGGGGCTGTCGGATGCGATTCCGCAGCTAGTGACTGGCGTGCCGTATATGACACGCGTACGCGCGCACAACATCGAAGGATGGGGGCTTGCGGCGTGGGGCCAGCCACAGTACGAAATTCCGCGCGGGGTGCCATCGGCCCCTCGGAACGTGCAGCTCATGAGCCTCTCCAGCACCCAGCTCAAAGTGGTGTGGACGACGCCGTCCTCTTCAGGTGGGTCGTTGGTGTCATCGTTTCGGATTGAATGGGACACGACGGCCACGTTTGCCAACATCGGTGTCCCGGGCTTTGATTACTTCAACATATTTGCCGTTCCTGCGGGGAACCTCGGCCCGTACTACTTCAACATCCCCGTGAGCGTGAGTGCCACGTACTTTGTGCGCGTTTTCGCAAGCAACGACAGGGGTCTCAGTCCCCCCGCAGGTTCCGTCCCCTCCTCGTTGCAACCCAACAACATGCCACCGGGGACACCTCAATCGCCCAAGCTGGTAGTGCTCAGCTCCACTGGGTACCTCGTCTCGTGGTTGCCACCGTCTACCGCCTTGACTGTCTTTGGAGGCCCTGGCGGACTCCCTATCACGCAATACATGGTCGAATGGGACACGGCGTCAACGTTTGACTCGCCCGCGTCGTACGCGATGGTTGCGGGCGATCAGTCCGAATTCATCATCGGGGGGCGCAATGTGCTCACGGGGGTGCAGTCCTCAGTGCTGACCCCCGGGGGAACGTACTTTGTGCGTGTCACGGCGTTCAACGGTCTGGGTGCGAGCCCCACCGCCGCGACGGTGCCGCCGTCGCTTCTTTTGGCAAACCAGTTGCCATGGGTGCCCCAAGCCTTGACCCTGACAGACGTGAGCGCGTCGTCCGTGTTGGGCCAATGGACGACGCCCAAGTACGACGGCGGCCTGTCGGTGCGAAAATACACGTTTCAGTACGATCAGCAAAGCGACTACATGAGTGGGTCCATGCAATCTGTGGACGTTCCCATCGTCCACGAAGTGCAAACGCTGTGGCTGGCCACAGACCCCATCAGCGAAGAGCAAAATATTGAAGCCACGGTGCAAGTAACAAACGAACGGCAGACGGTGCGCACCACTGTGACAGGCGTCGACGAGGTCCAGGTCGTCACCACGTCATGCGACAACGTTGTTGACGAAGTGCAGACGATCACAACCACTGCGACAGATCGCAACGAAGTGCAAACGATCGTGTTGGACGGTACTGACGTCAACGAAGTGCAGGCGGTGCGCACGACGCTGGTCAACTCGGCCGAAGTACAAACTATCACAATTGGGGTCGTGCGGGTGTTTGAAGTGCAGTCGTTTACGTTGGGGTTTACAGGCATCACGACGCCCGCGAGCATCACAGGGGACTTAATTTTGGGTCTGGATACCATGCTGTGTACGTTTTGCACGGTGCAGATGGTCCTGCAGCCTGTCACGGTGACCACGGCGATTGTCGACCCCATCGACACGTCCGGAGCATCCAAGATGGAGCTGCTGCTGGCATCTCTAGCCAACGTGGACGTCGTGACGGTGACGAGATTGACCACCGTCGACACTCTGGCGAACACGCTGACGATGGTGTTCACCGTGACATTTTCGGGGGTCGAAGTCGCCGGGAATGTCCCTGCCATGACATTACAGAGCTCGCTAGCGCCGTTGATACCCCTCACGAGCGTCCAAACTGTAGCCACCGAAGTGCAAGCGGGGAGCCAGCCAGTGTACAACGCAGCGTCGCAGTTCAAGTTGTACTATACTTGCGAGCAGTATTCGGATCCGACGCAGAAGATCGGCCTCTTCGCAGGCATAAGTGCAGGCTGTCAGCCGACGACCCAGCTCTGTGCCACGTGTGCTACCAGTTTCGATGGCACGGACGTCACGGTCAACATGGACTTGACGGCTGCGGTGGCGGTGGGCGCGGTGCTTCAAATTGGACCGTGTGTGTACGGCATCGCATCTCGCACAGCGACCAAGCTGACTGTGGACACGACAAACGTCGGCAAGTTCTGTTCGCCGTTCATCGGCAAAGCCCTACCCGTGTACATCGCTCAAGTATACCCCGCTATTACAAACTTGGTCATTCGACGTGGATCGGGCAGCATGGACTACCCTGAACAAGACTCGGTCATCGCCGGGCAATTTCTCAACACGCTGGGCAAATCTGTGACAGTGGTCGGCAACATCTTGGTGACCAACACGTTTGTCGGGTCGACGTACGCCGTCACGTTTTCCAGCCACACGGGCACCATTCCTCTCTTGAAGTGCGACGTGACGTCCATGGCCATTTCCAGCGGCACGCGCAGCTGCACCGTAGCCCGCACGGCTGTGGGAAGCATGATCTACGGGTCATTCGTCATGTCGTTGGCGCGAATGTCCGACGGAGTGGTCTTCCCCACCACAGCCCTTCCGTTCGACGTGTCCGAGGCCGACCTCACCACCGCGTTGCAAGCCGTGGGGTCCGCTGCGGAATGGGTCTTTGGTACGGTGGCCGTGACCCGGAATGCGTTCCCCATCACGGGCAGTTCGAGGTGGTATGGCGGGTACACGTGGCAGATCACGTTCTTGTCTCGCGGGTGGAACATCCCGACTCTCACCGTGGACAGCACGCTCCTGTTGAACGCCCAAGCCGCGACGCCCGTGCCTGTGGTCCTCGTAGAAGACGGAAGCAACTTGATGACCCCGCCTGCAGGCAGTGTGCATGGCAACCAAATCGGCGGCAGTTTTCTGCTGTCGTATAACGGCGTCGCCGCCACCGCGCCGTGCGTCCTGGGGACCAACACGGACGCCACGAGTTTAACCACGGGGCCGACGAATCCAGATACGCTGTTGGAAACGTACTTGAAGGCCCAATTTGGGTTTGCGTCCATTTCCGTGTACCGATCGCTGCCAACGCAGGCGAGGGGTTTCACGTGGTTCGTCACGTTTGTGGACAAGGACACAGGGGGCGATGTGCCCCCGCTCGTGATTGTGTCCAGCGCGGGTCTCACGGGCACGGGCGTCACCTTGACAAATAATGAACTGGTCAAAGGCAACCAAATCAGTGGCACGTTCCAGCTGCAGTACAACGGACAAACCACCGGCCCGATCTTGTACTCTGCGTCGGACGCAGAAGTGGCCGAGCAGATCAACAGTTTAGATTCGATTCGGCCGTCTACGGTGGTCGTCACGCGCACTGGACCATATGGGCCATCGACCGGTGTAGCCGACGTCACGACTCAAGTTCTGGGCTACCAATGGTCGGTCACGTTCCGCTCTTCCGTGTGGAAAGATCCAACGTCCGACCACAGCGTCATGACCCCCGGAAACTGGATTGGGCCTCCTGCTTCGTGGACCGACGTGTGGGAAACGGGGTATTCCAAGGCATGGGGGAGGCAAGTCGGCCCTCTCACGGCGATGGGGCTGCAGATCGCGTGCTTGCCACAGGCCCTGACGAGCTCCGACGGAAGTGCCTCCTGTTCCGTGGTAACGGCCACGCCAGGCGTCGGGCCTCTCAAAGGCACGTTTCGCCTTCAGCTGGATTCGGGGTTGAATCCGTACATGAAACAAGGTGTGGCTCAAAGCGTGGCCATTGCACACAACGCGTGGGGGAGCGCCGTGCAAAGTCGATCGTCGGGGACGTCCATGGAAGAAATCCTAGAGGGCATGCTGAACATTGGCAATGTCGCTGTGACGCGAGGCTCAGTGAACGTCTTGACGGGCGGGTACGCGTGGACCATTACGTTTCTGAACGACAAGGAGCCGTGTGTCGAGCACGATTCGTTGACCGGGCAATGCAACTCCCCCGGCAACGTACCCCCCCTCACAGTTTTCGCCAACACTTTAATCGCGTCGAACCCGGCCATCACCATCTGCGAGGCGTCGACGACCAACTGCGGCGTGAACGCCGACGGTGTGATCTTACGCAGCGACTTGAGCGTATTTAAAGTTACGGGGGACCCCGGGGTGGAGCACCGGTTTCTACTGGACGTGACGTGTCAAGGCGCCACGGGGGGATCTACATGTGCCGCTCTCGTCGGTGGCTTTGTCATCAACACCCCCTCTCCGGCCTTGGCTACAACGCTACTGGCAGGCGATCGATTTTTCCTCGTCGGGTACAGCACGTGCGTGTTTACGGTGCTGTCGATAACCCCAACCTTCCTGGATGTGGTCAACCAAGCGTGTGTTCCCATGCAAACAGTCTTGACGGGGGGTCCCTTCCCTCTGACAATTGTCTTGCCGTGGAACGCCCAGGAGAACCAGGTGCTGCGAGTGGTGCAGGCAGCGTCCGACACTTCGTTGGAGACCGGCCTGTGGTCTGGGGGGCGAAAGATCAGCGTCCAAAAGACCGTGATTGGAAAGTACGGCGCCGTGTCGTGGCTCATCCGGTTCATTGCAAACCCGGGGATGACCCCTCCCGGCGCGGGCAACATCAACCCCCTCGACGTGCAATTTCTCACCACCCCCGCGTGTGCGTGCACGGTCACCGTGATGGAGACGCAAGCAGGGTCGATCCCGTTGAGCGGCGACTTCACCGTCGACTACCACTCGGTGTATGGGCCACGGACGGTGCACTTCGACTCAAGTCCTGAAAGGTTGGAACGGATGCTAAACGAAATGAACACTCTGGGAATGGTCCGCGTAACCAAGTTCAACATCCCGTCGGCATCCACAGGATGTTCGTCGTCCACGTGCGCAGGTGGATGGGATAACCTGCCTGTTGAGAACGATGGCACACGGGGGGGGTACCGCTGGAGGGTCCGGTTTCTCAAGAACCCTGGCGACTACAACGGATTCACGTACCCCCCAGGAACCGGCGACATGAATACGTTGACCGTGGCCATTCCAAACCTCGTTGGCGCGTCCAAATCGGTCGACATGTTTGTGACGCAGCAAGGGCAGACCCCGCTGACGGGATCGTTCACATTGACACACTCGGGGGTGTCCACGCCACCAATTGCGTACGCGGGCTCTGCGTCCATGATTGAACAAGCTCTGGAAACCCTCCCGGACATCAGTCATGTCACGATGACCCAGGACGTTTTGACGTACTACGCCGTGCCAGGCGCGTCCGCCAACATTTTGCAGGACGCCACCACGGCGACCGTCTCCGGCGCCGACATTCGACAGTACTTCACCGCGGGGGACTTCATCCGATTCGGCCCTCCGACCGCGGGGGCGCTGGTTGGCAGCAATGGCGACGTGCCCGTCACTGGTGCCCTTTCAACGTCGCGAGTACTTGTGCAAACGTTGTCGCCGTTGGTCGTGTCGGACTCGACCCTGACGGCACTGGTGTATCCTGGACACCAACTTCGGCTTGGGGGATCCGTTTATTCCGTCGTGCGTACGGGCGTCGAAGTGCAAAAGCTCACCACAAGCCTTCCGACCGCCTCCTGGTCTGTCGCGAACATCGGCATTCCGTTTTTTAAAGTCACGATGCAGTATCGAGGCAGCACGGCCACGTCGATTAGTTGTTTGCCAATCCAAATCACCAATTTAGGGACGGTTTTGAGTGGGTTGGTCACGACAATGGATGGTACGGCTGCATCGAACTCAGTCACTGTTACACAAAGTCCTGTGACCGTGGTCGGCGCCGTGTCGAGTTTTGTGTATTCCATCTACTTTGGCGGGTCGTCAGTCGTGGGGGATGTCCCGCAATTGACGACGACTTTGTGCCCGACGGCTTTGACTGGGGGGACGGTGGCAGTGCAAACCCTCGTCCAAGGTGGCCGTGTTGCTCAGCAACGAGTGATGCTGTCCACCGATTCAGGCATCATCGTCGACAGTGCAGGGTGAGTTGGCCGGTTCTTGATTCTTTCTTGTGTCCTAACACATTGCACGGTATTATTAGGTACTACAAGTTGCAACTTGGTGGCGCCACCACTGCCTGTATCAAGTGGGGCGACTCGAGCGACGCCGTTCAGTCGGCGCTGAATGCCGTGCTCCCCGACTCGGTCGTAGTGTCGTTACAAGGAAGTGGCGCGTCTGCGACGGAACTTCAGCAGCTCGTGCTGACATCCAATGCCCCCGTCGTCAACGGATTGCAAGGTTTGTTTCGGCTGGCGTTTAAGAACAATGGTGCGACTGCCACGACGGGATGCTTGAACTATGGATTATCTGCCAGTGCGCTTCAAACTGCTTTGAATGGCCTGTCGAATGTCATGACAGGTCACATTGTTGTGACGAGAACTGGAGACGGAACGGCGGCGTGGGGGTACGGGTTCCAGTATCAAATTGCGTTTTCCGGCAACTTGCACGTTGGAACGAGCAATGTCTTGGGCAACGTCCATCAGCTGGACATCTTTTCCGTCGGCCAAGACATGTGTGCGCCTCTTGTCACGGGCTTGCCGTCGATTCAAGTGAAAACAATTCGAGGAGGCAAACCGGGTTTCAGTTACGACGTGTTCTTCGTGGGGAAAACGTTTGGCCTTGTGGACCCTTTGACCCTAGTGCAAGAAGGAACGTGCACGGGACTGTGGACCCAAGTGGGGGGCAGTTCGCGACGCATTGAGGTCCAAGTGATCGACACTGGCAGCAGTCCTGAAATTCAAGATCTCGTCGTCCAAGACAGCACCACAGCAATTACTGGCACCCCCTCGTTCAAACTGAGCTACATGGGGGTCACCACAGCTGCGTGCATTCCGTTCAACGCTGGGGCGTCTGCTATTCAAGCGGCACTAATTGGATTGTCCACGATTGGAGCGGGTGGGGTGCTGGTCTCGCAAGACACCCCTCCCCTTCGAGCCCCCAATGGGTTCCTCAATCGAATTACGTTTGTGGGCGACACGGTGGCAGGGAATGTCAACTCGATTTCTGTCGTGTACACGGGATGCACTGCGTTTGCAGCCACGTCGTCCGTGACAGTCGTGACGCGGCAAGATGGCGGAGGCACGGGCAACAAGATCGCGCTGTCCACTCAATACTCTGGCGATCAAGTGGGCTCGATTGTGGCGTACGCAGTGTCGCAGACGTTCCGCGTCCTCGACGAGAAATTCCAAGTTGATCAGATCGTCGTGTCGAATCCGAACAACGACATTGCCGCCCCTGGCACATACACATTAACGTTGGGCGGCGTGACTACCGCGGTGCTGTGGAATGCCCAAGACACGGAAATGGAAGTGGCGTTCGGAACGGGGCTCGGGGTGGTGGGGGGCGTCACCGTCACCCGTCGCACTGACGCCACCGTCGCCCCGGGGGGGTTTGTCTACACGATCTACTATTTGCAATCCCTCGGGTCGTTGGGCGCGTTGACTCAAGCCAACACGTTTACGACTGCAACCGTTGCGATTACCAACTCCCGCGCAGGCTCCAACACGAACTTATTCACGTCGTCCGTCGTGCCGCTTGCGCTGGTGACGGATTCGACCACCCCCGCCTCATTTGTGGGCGCAGGCACGGGCTTGTCAGTGTTCAAAGCCAACGGATTTCAATGGTCGGTTCTTTTCGACTCGAACATTGGCAACGTGCCTGCGCTTGGGGGTCAATCGTCGTCCGGGCTTCCCGTCACTGTCTACGACGACTTTATCCAGGGGTCGTTGTCGAACAGCGTCACCGTGACTGATTTGGTGCCTGGGATTCCGTACTACATGGAAGTGTCTGCCTCTACTGCCATCGGACAAAGCGCCTTCTCGGCCTCCGCTGCCATCATTCCAAGCAGCGTCGCCACATCGCCCCGTAACTTCGTCGCAGGGTACGACCTCTTTGTCAGTGAGATCCAAGTTGTGAAAACGGCCGCGCGGCATGTTCTCGAAGTGCAAACAGTCACGACCACGGCGGCCGTGATCTCGGAGGTGCAAACTCTGACCACCACCGCCGGCCAATGCAACAACTGCCTCACAGGCAACATCGCGTACCGCCAACCCACCGTTCAAGTCGTGTCGATCTCGGCGTTGGCCCCCATTCTTGGCGGGACCTTCCAACTCGTGTACACGGACACCGCCGCGTCCGGCACGGGTACCTTTACTCACACCATGTACACCACGACCACCCTCGGATGGAGTTCCACGGCAGCGCAAGTGGCAGCGGCTCTCGTAGCGACGACAGCGTTTGGGTCGTCCGACATCGTCGTGACGCGGGAAGGCGACGCCACCGTCGGATACAATTACGGATATGTGTTTTCCATCACGTTTGTGGGAAATGCAGTGGCGGGCGAGGTGCTGCCGCTGATCCTGCGCGACACGACCACGACGCCAGCGTGTGGAACGTGCACAGCCTTTACGACCCTTGGGGGCGTCGGGTATACGTTGAGCCAGTCGCAGAACGTCCGAAGCGCCATGGGTACAGACACTGCGGTCCAACGAGTGATCGTAAAAGCCGACCAAGTGCTCTTCACAGGCGGGTACCAGTTGTCCCTCACCAACGCCGGAGCAGCGCAACAATCCGGTTGCATACCATTCAATACAGCAGCGGCCGATTTAGAAACCCTCTTGCAAGCGATGCCCAACATTGATAAAGTGTACGTGGAGCGAAGTCTAGACGCCGTGGTCGCGCCCAACGGCTACATCTTTGACCTGTTCTTCTATGGCCAAGGCGTAACTCGGTACCACATCCCGGCGTTGGTCGTGACGATGGGGTGTACTGCGTTTCAAACGCTGGCCAACAACGTTCTAAGCACGGCTGGAGTCAACGCCGCCGTGACGGTAACATATGTCCATGAGAACGCGTTTGCCGATCCCACCGGGTTCCGGTCCGCCGCCAGCACACCCGCCCAACTGCAGGCAGATCTGACGCGGTTACCCATCGTCGGGTCGGCGCTCTACGTGTCGCGGTCCCTCCAGGACAACCAGGGGGGCTTCAAGTGGACCATCGTGTTTGACCAGGAGGATGGCAACGTCCCCTTGTTCATATGCGGGTCAGACGCTGCCTTCCAAGCGGTTGTGGGGTCCCAGTGCTCGGTGGAATCTGTCATTGATGGCAATGTACTAAGTGGGTCGTTCATGCTGGGCGCCAGCGATCCGATTCCATTCAACGCTGATGAAACCACCATGGCGAACGCATTGCAGCAGCTGTCGTGGCTCGGGTCGGTGGCCGTGACACGGACGGGGCCGACGGGGCAGCTTGGCTACACCTGGACACTGTCCTTTTTAACATATCAAGGCGCACTACCCGTCTTGCTGGCGACCAACCTCATGAACGGCATCGGCTCCTCCATTCAAGTGGTTGAAACCGTGCGAGGGAACGCACTAACCGGGACGTTTCAGCTCGGCTTTCGGGGTACCACCACGACTCCGATTGCGTACAATGCGGCGGCGATGGCAGTGGGTGACGGGTCGTCAATGCAAGAAAAATTGCAGGCATTAAGCACCATTGGTGCACTCAATATCAACCGCATCGGGCCGGACTTTGAAGGGGGCTACGAATGGTGGATCACGTTTACCGATGACATCAAGACAGGAGGCGACTTGCCGCCCCTGACGCCGTCGAATATGCAGTTGGGCGCTACGGGCGCCGTGGTCAACGTCCGGGAGGTGCTGAAAGGGTCAATGGGATCTGGCAACCGGTTGTGGGTATCGTTTGATCCACCTACGTCCGACAACGGAGATCCCGTGTCTGGGTATGGCATTCAGTGGGACACGTCCAACACGTTCATAGCCAGTCCACAGCGTTATGTTCTCCAAGATTCGCAACTTCTCTTTTATCGTCAGAAGATCATCTCGACTGCACCAAGTTTAGCCTGGTCATCCACGCTACTTGCCGTGCAGTCGACCATTCAAAGTATCGCCGTGGATGCTGCAAGTACCACGTTCACATTGTCTTTCAAAGGGGTGACCACCTCGGCCATCATTGTGGGCATGACGTCACTAAGCACCGTCCAAACGCTTTTGAACGGATTGAGTACAATTCAAGGCGGCGTAACGTTAAGTCCACTGGTGGGGCTGGTAACTGCCAGTACATCCTTCGCCATCACATTTACCGGCCAATACGGCCCCCAGCCAGTGTTGGTGTCGTCGGATACCAACAACGTCGTCTCGACCGTGCAAGTGGGCGTGACCAACTATCGCAAAGAAGTGCTCGCGTTTTCTTGTACTGCGACCACAGGAACCATCACGATTACCGCCAAGACGATGTCCAAGACCTTTCCATTCAATACTCTCTTGACTGAGGTCGAAGCCGGACTGGAAACTTTGCTCGGGGCGCCAGCAGGAAGTATCACCGTCACCACACCGTCTCAGGCATTTGTGTGTGCTGCAGTGCCCCAAATTGTAACCATCACCTTCCATCGAACGTACGGAGCGTTGGCTAGTGGCGTTACCGCCGCTGGAGGACCCGTCCTTACCCTAAGCGACATGACCACCGCCGGCATTTACGTCAACCCAGTAACCGCCATGAGCGGCACCTTTTATTTGGCCTTCCAGGGCACTACCACCCCCCCGTTGAACTCGCAGTCGGCCGCGTTGGACCTGCGCATTGCGTTGGAAACGCTTCCGTCGATCCAAACCGTGTCGGTGTCGCGCACTCTGTCCTACCAGCCAGTGACGGGCAAGGTGGACGTCCAGCAGGGCCAGCTGTACGTCACCTGTTCCTTTGGCGAAACGTGCAATTTCGCAGCTTTGCGCTACGGCGTTCCAGGCACGGCCATCTTGATTGGAGGGGGGTGGTACACGGTGGTGAGCGACGTCGTGTCGGCAGACATGCCCACCTCGCAGTTGTACTTGGGGGACATGAATAACAACCCCATTGCGTACCAAGGCGACACGGCCACGGGGGTCACCGTCTACGAGTGGGCCAAAGGCTACGTCTGGACCGTCGATATGTTGCTGCTCGCGCCTACGGCAACCCTGAGCATGTTGCGCCCTCGACAGGTCAATCTCACGCCCGTCGACGGCAAAGTGATGGTGCAAGGCGATTCGTGTCAAAAGTGTTATTACATTCCAGACCAAACGACCGCGCCACTGCTCACGATGGGTGCGACCTACTACTTGCAAGCGGATGCTGTCAATACGAACGGCAAAAGCCCCACGACGCCGCTGATTCAGGCGGTTCCTCGGCAGATTCCCGATGCACCGAATGCGATCAACATCGTCGTCGTGTCTGGCACGCAAGTGGAAGTGTTCTTTTCCCCTCCCAACTTGGCCCCTGCTCGGGTGGCGCCTAGTTACAACAACGACATCACAGCGTATATCATTCAATGGGACACTGCGACCACATTCAAGCACGGCCTTCCTGCCTGTCGCGTCTGCGCCACGTCGTTTACCGGATCGGTGGTCTCAGTGTCGTCCGATCTCACGGCCAAACTGGCCGTTGGAAAGTCTGTGACGGTGGGCAATATGAATTGCGTGCTCACCATCACTGCATTGGATGCTTCGACATTAACAGTCGCACCAAACTCATGTGCCCCATTTCTGGCTCAAGCGTACGACGTGTTGTACTACATTTACCCCCCCGCGGTGCTGTCGGGGCTGCCTATCCAAGGCACTCCCCCCTATCGCTACCTCATCCAATCGCTTACGATTGCTACGACATACTACGTCCGCATTGCAGCTGTGAATTCCGTGCCCGTGCAAAGTATAGCTGTGTCGGGCTCTCCCCCAGACAACCGCCGCTGGACGTTTCCGAGTTCTGTCACGACTAACAATGTCTTGCCAGACCCTCCAATTGCAGCCTACTTGTACGTTATTTCAGGCACGTCGCTGGAAGTGCAGATCCAACCGGCGTTGAGAGATGGCCAAGGCCTCGGTGGAGGTGCCATCACAGCCTATTCCATCGACGTCGACACGGTATCAACATTTACCACTCCTGGCCGCGCATACCCCGTGGACGTTCCCATCGCATCGTTCACGTTGCTTTACCCTGGGGGGCCATATACGTACTACATTACTGGATTAACTACTGGCACCCCATATTTTGTACAAGTGAAAGCCAAGACTACCGTTGGGTACAGTCGAGCTACGATTGCCACAAACACCCTCGCCCCAACTTGCACGTCCGGGCCGCCTACGCAAGTCGCCGTAAGCACCATCGCCAAGCTGACGACCGCGCCGATTTCGACGGCTGTGATCCAGTGGGGAGCCCCCCTTGCTTTGGGGGGACTCCCATTGCGGTATTTCCACGTTGAATGGTGGACGGCCGCGTCTCGCGCCGAAGTGCAAGTGGTCGAGCTCAAGTGGACCTTGGCACCCACTGCGCTTTCGTTCACGCTGGCCTTCGGGGGGGCGCTTTCCGGAGGCATTCCATTTGATGTGTCCCCTGCGAATTTACGCAATGCGCTCATGAACATTGGAGGAACCACCACACCGGCCGCCCTGCCGATCGGAAATGTCCAAGTCACTCGAACAGCCATCAACGTCAACCAAGGGTACCAATGGACCGTGACGTTTGTGTCGACGTTGCGCAATCTGCCCATGCTGCAGCTGTCCGTTGCCACGACGACGGGGGGTGCTGGAATTCAAAGTCGCGTATTTGAGGCGGTGGCGGGGGTCGCAGGGGGCGCGACCACTTCTCCGGGGACGCCGGAAGTGCAAGTGCTGACGTTAACCCATCCCACAGCCGCTCAAGCCATCACTGGATTCTTTCGAGCGTCGTTTATGGGGTCATCGTGGTCGACGTATATCCCTGCCACGGCTTCTGCAACGTTTGTGCAGAATGTGCTGCAAGAACTGTTCACTATCGGTCGTGTCACCGTCAACCCCATCACAAGCGCCAACTTTCCAGCCAATACCATTGCATGGGCCATTACGTTCAACTCGATTGTCGGAAACGTTCCTGCCCTGACAGTCGACGCCACAAAACTCTTGCCTGCGACGTCAGTGGCTCGAGTGTACGACGGCAACAACGTCGTGTTGCCCACTGGGGCGTGGTGCACGACGCTGGATCTTGCGTGCCAAGCCATCTACACGTACGTTCGCATTGGAGAACAAGCTGTGGGCTACGGCTTCTACGACACCAACGTCCCCACTGTGTTGACGTACACGGTCACGGGGCTCACGACGGGAACGTCGTATTATACGTCCGTGACGGCCGCGAATGCCCTTGGCTTGGGTCCTCGGGCGGCGTCCTTTCCGCCGTCGATCATCCCACCCAAGCAAGTGCCATCGCAGCCCACCAGTGTAACCGTGAATGTCAACTACGGCATCTCGACGCAATTGCTCGGGTCCTGGAGCACCCCTAGAAGCGACGGAGGCTCGTCCATCCTCAAGTACACGGTGGAGTACGACACATCGCCGACATTTTCCACTCGCGCGAGCCAAGACGTGTGGTGCGCGACCGCCAACATCAAGGCCGTGTGGCGCATCTCGCTGACCAGAGTCAACGTGGCGCAAACGGCCGCCGTGGCCCTTGGGTGGTTCAAGCTCAAACTCACGCGGTCCAACTCGATCACAACGTCCGACCCGATTCCGTTTAACGCTGTGCCCATGGGCAGCGACGAGCTCGGCGCGCAGCCCGCCATGTCCCTTGTATACTGCACTGCCTGCGCAACTTGTACCGACACATGCGATGCCGCGAAGCAAGGGCTTTCCGGGTCATTACAGTATAAAATCCAGGCGCTGCAAGACATCGCGGGCGTCGTGGTCACGCGGTCCGCCCAACAGTCGGACGGCGGGTACGTGTGGAGCATCACGTTTCAGGACGACGGCGACGACTTTGCCTTTGAGCCGGTTGCGTCCGTGCAGGCTCTCAACTGCGCCGGGGGCACCTGCGCCAACACCGACTACCAGGTGGCAGCCGTCAAGGTGACCTCGGGGGTCAAGTACCCCTCGTGCATCGGCACCCAGGTGCTTCCAGCGACCGGCGCGTTGACCAAAGGCCAGCTCTACTATGTGCGGGTGTCGGCATTCAATTCCATCGGGTTTTCGTTCCCGCAACTGGCGCCCAACCCACAAAAGCCCATGGTCGTGCCTGGCTTGCCCACAGGCGTGAGTTTGCAAGTGAACTCGGTGTCGTCGCTCAAGGTTGTGTTCAGCCCACCGAATGACAACGGGGGAGACACGATTACATCGTACCAAGTGACGTGGTCCATCTATTCTGACTTTCATGCATCCTCAACCACCCAAGTCACGCTGCTCAGTGGTGGCGCGCCGTACTTTTGTCTCATTCCGGGCCTCACCAAGGGACAATTCTATTACGTGCAAGTGGCGGCGCAGAACTCCCAAGGCACAGGTATACGAGTTTGCGTCATATTTGAAGTATTTTATCCGTCCTGACGAGAGATGGTGACTTGTAGGATTGGCGGCTGCATCGTCTCCGGCGTCGTTGAATCCCCATACATTCCCAAGCGCCCCAACAACTGTTGTGTTGGGTATCACATCGCCCAGCATGCTCACCGTAGCCTGGCAACCTCCGACCGACAACGGCGGGGACCCCATCAGCGGCTACATCGTCGAATGGGATACGCTGGCCAGCTACAACAGCTTGAACTTGCCTCCGGACAAGAACAAGGTACCGATCAGCGATGTCACTCAACGGTCGTACACCATCTCGCTGCTGACCCAATTCTCGGCGTACTACGTCCGCGTGTTCGCTGTGAATTCACTTGGCGCTGGAGTTGGTCAAGACGCGTCTCCCCTTCCGGGGGTGCCGGATCTGGTACGGCCTGGCAAACCCGTCACGGTCACTGCCACTGCCGTCACCACGCCAGCCTCTGGCATTTACGTGCAATGGCAAGCGCCATATATTCCGGACCATGGCCTTCCGTGCTTTGGCTCGCTCAGCGCCCCCCTTCCTTGCCCCAACATTCTGGGCGTGAGTTCCGTCTTTGGGGGTGTCCCCTTGAATAATTACGTGATCGAATGGTCCTTGTCGGCCGTGTTTCCGGGCACCAACACCAAAACATCGCAAGGAAACAACCTGTACCTGCTGCCCGCGGACGGATTGGTCACTGGCACCACCTACTACGTACGTGTGCAAGTGGTCAACCAGAACTCGCTGGTCAGCGCCTTTTGCCAGCGCATCAACGTGAGCCCGTATTTGTGCCCAGACAACCTTTTACTGTACGATGGAAGTTACACCACGGGCGCGTACGTGACAGCTGTCATGCCATAGGTCTAGCATAGTTCATATAGTTTCGTGATAATATTATATTTGCATTTTCGTTGAGATGGCTTCTATCTCACCCTCCATGCGAAAGGAGATAGATGTCTTGGGTTGTCCTGATGGGATTTGATGGGTAGCCCTGGTCAAAGGGCATACATACATCTGCGTATCATGGAAGGGGGTGATGGAAATGGTAGTAGCCGTTGCTCGTAGAAGTCTATTTTTAATCATCACAAGCAGTTTGGGGAAGTTTACTTTCCTACGCGCAAGCGATGCAGCGCACCATCGTGACACTGATGTGCATATCGGGGGGGCTTAACTTGCTCTTTCGCATGGGTACTTGATCCACATTCCTTTGCACATACCAACAGGTGCTATCTCTAGGCATCCATCTCGGTGGCAGCCACATCCAGTTTCACGAGCTCCTGGCAACACGCACAGGTGGGACACCACCTCCTCATTCAATTACCCCTGATCGTGTTCCAGTTCGCATGTACCGCGGCATTCAGCCATCGCCCGTGCCATGTCCTGTCGGCATGTATCGCCCTGTAGGGAGCGGTGTGACAATGTCCGAATGCCAATTTTGCCCCCGCGGGGTGTACGGTAACCTGCCAGGGCTCACGACAAGCACGTGCACGTCGCTGTGTCCGAAGGGCACGTACAACGACAAACTGGGCGCCACGTCCATCGACGACTGCAAGCCCTGTCCCAAGGGCACGTACGGACAGTCGACGGGCATGACGTCCAAGGTCTGCACCGCCCCCTGCCCGCTGGGCTCGTACAGCATGACCGAAGGGCTAAGCAGCGTGTCCAGCTGCGTGGCGTGTCCTGGGGACTACAGGGGCCCCAACGGACGTCGCGGCAACAATCTGAATGGGTTTGCCACGGGGGGCTACGCGTGCGACCGGTACTACCTGGGCAAGGATGTCCCATCAGGCCGCAATGCAAAGTACCTCGCGGCAACGTTGGACTAATACACACTTGAGAATTAAATGACGTTTGATTAATTGTTAGTTTTAACTGCGGTCGGCTTTGAAGAGGTCACTCTTGAAATACTGCGACAGGCTACTCTTGGCGACGTCGCTGTCTTCGAGAAACAGGTGCGCCAGTATAGTGTAGTGCTGACTAGGGCTGCAATACACCAAGAAATCGGGTAAGAAAAACGTGGCAGCTTCCCGAATGCCGACTTTGGGCGACGTTAGGCACGCCACGTACGCCTTGGTGGCATCCCCAGCACTCGTGCGATCGCTCTGCAGGACCAAGAGCAAACACTGGCAAATCAGCACGGTTGTCTTCTTGGTCATCTCGCCTTGGCTAATATACCGCGTCAACGTGGGAAGTACCAGGTGCTTGGCGGACCCAGCATAGAGCGTAAACGTGGTCTTGAGCTCTTCCAGTTGGTCCTCAAAGGTTGGAGAGGTTGTTGTCCAGGACGTGATTTCAGTCGACTTGATTGTGTGGTGGTCGAGAAAGTGGGAGACACTTGCAACAGACGCATGGGATGACTCGTATTTGCTCAAGGCATGGATCCTACCATGGAGCAGTTTAGAACTCTTTAAATACACTTTGGATGTTTATACCAGCGAATGCGGTATGCATGCTGCGTGAAAAAGGGGAGCATGGCGCAGCTGTCCTTGCGAATCATACGGTCGACTGTGTGGACGACGCGCAATGCAGTGATCGCTTTAGATTCGTCGTGATGGTGCTCCAAATAGAGCAAAAAGCACTGCACCAAATGCTTCAAAGTGTGGGGGTGGCGGAACACGCTCTCTGCGACCAAGTCGATCGCCATCAGCCACTACAATACACAACCACGTCACTAACACATCAAAATGCATGCTATTTTCATTCGTACATTGTCCAACGGGGCTTTCGACACAAACAAAGCCGACCTTCCCTCGAGACTCAGAGCAACATGCACGATTCTGGATGTGACAAGCAACGGATGGCGCAGCGCCACCAGTCGCAACGCGTCCGCATGATCTTTGGATGTTAACCACCGATCGATTTTCGACTCGAGCCGACTGGATGAGTTGAAGTGCACCAGCCGAGAAGCGTGGAGCTGCCACCCAGGGGCACAGACATCCATGGCCAACGCGAACGAGTGCGGGCGGGACGCATACAGGTCCTACATCAAAGCACACATATATAAGAAGACTCCCATGCACTTCAGAAGGTTTCGTCCTCATCGTACCATCACAATGAACTCGACCACTTGACGCTCGACGGCGGCCAAGTCCGCAGACACTTGTTCAAAGTTGTACAAGGCGGTGATGGTCGACGCCATATTGTTTTGAATGTCGAAGGCAACGTGGTAAATCAAATTCAGTCGGGTGCGGTCCACTTGTTGGGTTTGCGGCCAGTGCTGGGCTTGCTCTGCCACGATCAAACGAACGATGCGCTGCCACACGCCATGAACATGCCACGGCATCACGGTCCACATTGCATCCAACACAGTCGACGCAAACGGCAGCAACGAATCGGTCGTGTGCTGGCTCAAGAACGACTGCAGAAACACCCCCGTGCTGTCTTGGCATCCCAGCGCCATGATTTCGTGCAAGAAGACTTGGACAAAGCCGACTGGACGAGCCTTGGCCAAGGCTGAACCAAGCTTCACGAGGGACGATGTATGGCCCAACGAGGCAACGTGTACTCGTCCCAAGACAGATGATCGATGCGACTTGTCGTGAATAAGCAGACACATGTCGGCAAGTCGATCGTGGGTCGCTGCATACTGTCGTGGAACCGGACTCGGGTGTGGCATTATTGCAGGCACGTTGACGACAGAGTCCAGATCAGATGTGGGGGGTGGGGCCTTCTTTGGGCACGTAACAAGAGCGAGGAATCGGTTCTTCTTTTCTGGACAACGCGTGTCTTCGCTACCTGGTATTCCTAGTGGTTGCTCGTGGTGATCCTTCAACCAGGTGATCATGGCGTCGCCGGCGTGCCGAACCTCGGCAAACGATTCCTGGTGCAAGTACATATTCAAATGAACGAGCGCTTCGTCGCAGGCGCGGGCCGCGTCCCCCGCGCCGCTTTCTTTCGTCAACGCGTCCACACACTTATCCGGACGTGAGACGGTGGCCGCCTGAAGCGCGGTGAGCACGGCCAGCAGACACGCCGGTGCGCGGCCGTACGAGAGCACGACTCGCCACAACACTTCGAGCGTCATCTTTTGAATCGCAGCCGAAAGCAGTTGCGTGTTGGCAACGCACGCCAGTCGAAACAAATGATCTGATGAGCACACGTACGTTTGGCGAGGATGCCACAGCCCCAGTGTCGACTCTGGTGGAAAGAAGAACGCCACGAGGTGGTCGAACGAGGATACAGCGACTTGTTGGGTCGGAAAGCTCAGCAGTTCAATGGCCCCAGAGACGATGCTGGCTGGCAAGTCGACGGCGGACACTCCGCGATGGACTTCTGGCGCGACTGCCACCGTGACCCACGCCTCAGCACCTTTCAGATCGTGCGGTTGGCTTGTAGGTTGATGGACTTGCCTTTCCACGGCGGCCCAAAACGTATCGACCATACGACCAAACACTGCCGTGTCGGTTAACAACAATCGGGCGACGGACGCCCGCTGAACCAAGAAATTCCCAAGAGCTACCGCCAACGGAAGGTGCAAATGGGCTTGATTGCCAAAGATGTCGTATAGCGCTCCAAGACACAGCTTGAGCGCGTCCACAGACGACTCAAGCTTGAGAAGTGCCTCCAACGACGCTATCACTCGTTCGTGCAGCGCTGGAAAGCACGGCAGGCTGACCAGACCTGGCAGCCAGTCGAACGAGAGGCAGGGAACGGCCTTGGATAATGTCGTTATAGAACTAGTGTCTTGACGGGTCAACAGGTCCAAGAGGTACGCCGACAGCTGACGAGTGGCTACATTTGGAGACGCCAACCGGTTCAAGAAAAACGTCATGACCTCGACGTTGTCGTCGTCGTCGTTGCATTCCTACACCAAATGATATGTCCACCCAGTAGACGCAAGTAGAACGTACCTTGAGCCGGGACAAAATACTCGGCACTTGCTGCAGCAGCATGGCGTGCATCGCCCCCTTGGACTTGTCGTCACTGCCGCCGTCGACACATGCCAGCAGCAACAGCTCGCAGAGGCACCGGCGCGGCAGGTACGTCAGCGTCTCGAGCTCGGCGCACACGATTTCCACGATCCACGAAATTCGCTCCGGACGTTCCGACCAGCTGGACTGGGAGCTCTTGTCCGACACGGCTACGTCGACCATGTCCATGAGAAAGTCCGTGGATCGGCTCTTTCGAAGGCGTAGCCCCAACCGCAAACTCTTGTCCAATGCGTCCACTTTACGCAAGACGTCGACGGGCGGGGCCCGGGCGCTGCACTGAAGAGGCTGCACGACCATCAGCGATTGGTCCACGGGTAATTTGTGGGCTTCAAACAACGCCCGCTCCCGCTCGACCACCAACTGGTTGGCCTGCGATAACGTCATGGAAGGCGGTGAATGTGTGTCAAATAGCTTCAAGTCTTCTGGCTCCACAGGCGGGAACTTGAATCGTCCCGTGATGACCATTTGCATAAGGGAACGCATCGTAGGAACGTTGTCCCATACAAACGCCCCGAGCGATTCCGGATTGAACGCGACTAAAATCTATGAAACCACATTTTAGACCGTCGAAACAAATGCAACATGTACGGACCAGTAAAATACAGTGCGCCAGCCAAAACAATTCGCTGTAGCACACGGCATTGCCATCGTACAAGTGTCCTCGAACCTACATGAACGACATGACATACATGTTGGATGTGCAATGGCATACCGTGCCCGCTTCCAACAGCGGCTGGACCAATTCCAGTGTGTCCACTTTCAAACCCATGACGCCGCCATCCGCTTGATACTTGAGGATCTGATCTTGGGTGGAAAAGTACGCCTCGCGCGTCGTCTGCGCGTCGGACGCGCGGACCACCACCGCCTCCAGCACTTTGAGAATATCCAGCGTTTCCTCTGGATTCGCATACTTGCACATGTCGACGATGCGACCGACCGTCGAAGCATGCAGCGGAAGCATGTCCCTGCAAAAGTTGAAGCATCCGCGGTCATGTTCGGTTGCCTACACATGAAATATCCTTTGTATTGGACATGTGATATAAAAAAGAAGGAGGATTGCAATATCCATCAGCTCAAAACATAGCTGTGTACTACTGGGACACCGACTAAGGATACAATGGCCGACCCGTGGGTTCTTGGCATCGAGTTCATCCTACCTACCTGCATATCCGCGAGCATGTCTAGGAACAAGACCTTTCGAATGACCGCGCCAAACAATCGCATGCCCAGGTGGTCGCCAAGCTCTTGGACATCGTGGCACCAGTGAATGGCCATGCTCTGAACGTGTGCGATCAACTGCGCGAATTCTTCCTTGGATTTCACGGCGGGGGTGATGGCTGGATGTTTCGGTTCCTTGGACGCAAACATTGGTTTGCTTTTCAGGGACCCCAACGCCACGGGTCCATTGGTATTTCCGGCGTTGCTGGCGGGAGTACTAGCCACCGCCCCCGTGCCCAAGCGCCGGACGCCCTTGTCCATCGCTTTCGGAAGCAAGCGGGGGTTGCTTGAGGCGTCGGGAACGTTGACTTGCAGACTGCGCACGGCCGCGCCCTGCACAAACAAAACCAGCGCCACGAGCTCCCCCATCATGACAAAGAACTCGAACGACTGAATTCCTTTCGGCACCACGAGTAAGCCCTGGCACAACGCCCGTACGTCCAGTTGATCGTGTGTCAAACTACGAAGAACCTATCCACCAAGTCGTTGAAAACACACACATATATAAATATATATATATATATACCTTTCGCAGCGTATTTTTCAGGGTGGGAAGGTTGCTCGAGGCGGTGGCCAGATCCTGCAACACCATCGCCAACGCGCGACTGGTGGCCGTGCCGGGATGTTGGTGCTGTGGGGACCGCTTGAACACGACGTCGTTGTCTGGTTCTTGGTCGTCCTTGGAGTCGTGGCCGCCTTGCGCGGTTTCGCGGAATATGAGCGGCATCATCTTGAGGTTGTCCACGTCTTTCAACGTCGCCGCCAGTCGCTCCTTGAGCAACACCACTTTGAACGCAACGTTGATGTACTCGGGGCGCTGGCGCACCAGCATCGTAAACACTTCCGACTTGAGCTGGGGAAACGACACGGTCTTGAACTTCATGTTGAGCAAGTTCTCGACCGTGTCCAAGTCGGGCGCGTCGAGGGTCGTACACGACTAGGCATGGACGACTGGATGAGTATGACTAGTACTACTAGTAGTAGTAGATATATATATCTATATGTACTAGTACCCGAACGATCTTCAAGAGCAAGTCGCGCGCAATGGTTTTGTGTGTGGTGTGCTGAAACCACAGTTCCAAGTTGGACGAGGCCATCAACCGGCCTTGGGGGAGCGGCGTCAGGTCCATGAGGGTGAGCATCACGTGCTTGAAGGTCGTGGGGTTGACCCCACCCTTCTTGATCTCGGTCACTTTCGACGACAGATGCTCCATGATGCGCTGGACAGATGCGTCTGTGGACGGCGCGGCGGCGATGTGGGCCTTGATCATGTCCACGAATACACTGCACATGCTGTGGTCGACCCACGACCGAGAATGCAGCGAGTCATCCACAAACACTTTGAGGCAGTCGTCCGGCCATTCGTTCTGGGGAATATTCTTCAAAATCGTCGCCAACAAGTTTGCCACCAACACGGCCAACGGAAGGACCCCGCGCACCTCGCGGGGAGGTTTCGGCTTGGCCTTCTTGTCCACAGAACTGGAGCGCTCTCGACCTTGAAACGTACTTCGCAGCAGACGCAGCATGGCTTTGAGGGTGGTCGGGTGCTGGAACTTGGACGGATTCGAACTCACGCATGACGCATACGCAAGGATCAACTCGCGACTGGGACTGCCGCCGTCGCGTGCTAGCTGACCGAGGGAGCTTTGTATCAGTCGTTGAACGGACTCATCGTCTTGAGCATTATCTAGAAGCTGACGGGTGTCCTCTGTGTCTTCGTCGTCGTCCTGCGCTTCGTCGTCGTCGTCGTCGTCCTCAACTCCTTCCTTCTCTTCTTCTTCGTCCTTTGGTACCTCCTTGTCGTCAGCCGGTGGCTCAGGGGGCTTCTCTGGCGCCTTTTCTTCATCTTCTTCCTCCATGTCCGCATCCTCCAACTCCTCTTCAGCATCGGAAACCTCCTTGGCAGACGTGTCCTTTTGCTTGTCGTCGGGGTCGCTGGACAAGTCTGACTCATCGTACACGACACGCTTCATTCGAGCAGAGCGAACGCTTTGTGTCGCATTGATCTTCTGTGCTGCCGCCTTCGCAGCGCTCCTCGTGCTCTCCCGAGCACCTCGAACGGGTCGTCCCGATGGTCGTCCTGGCCCCATGTTTGGACTTGGACGAAATTGCGCACAGTGGTATAACGATTTGTTATAACAATACTTTGTGTTACAACAACCAAAAGAACGCCACACATACGCAGGAATCTTCGGAATGAACGGCCAAGTCCTCCGCGTGAGTGAGCCGTTAGCGACTCAATTCCAAACCGCCCAAGAGACAAACACAGTGCGATGCATCGAGGCCAAAGTCACTGGCGAGCAGCTTGTTGTGAACAAGGTGTTTCAGATTCATGAGGGTGTCCAGGCCGACGCCGAGTGGGCAAGCATTCAAGCCGAATGCTCCACTCCGTCGTTGGTCCTCTTCCATATTGCGACCTCGAATGGACCACTCAAGTGGATTCTGGTGGCGTCTGTGTGCGACACCCTTCCCGCGCGTGACAAGATGTTGTATGCTTCGGCTCGCGATTGCCTCAAGCAGCAACTGGGCTTGGCATATTTCGTAGGCGACGTGCACACAACGAATTTGTCCGCATTCACGTACCGCGACGTTGTGTCCACGATGCACACGACGACCGGACCGTTGAGCGATCGCGAAGTTCTCTTGAAGGAGGAAGCGCTCCTTGAACGCGATTTGTCGGTCAAGTCGAGTGCGATGAACGTCCTGCCCTTTGGCATGTCGGCAGCATGCGATACCGCGTTGATCGCATTCTCGAAAAAAGGAACGAGTTCGACTTGGCTAAGCATGCGCATGACCAACGAGGAGCTGGTCGTGGATGCATCGGTTCATATCACTCGCGACGACCAGATCAACGCCCTCGTCGATAAGGAGCAGCCCAGCTTTGTGCTGTACCGCAGCCTTGTCGATGACCCAACCCCCACCACCTGTACCGTACAGTTACTGTACATTGATTCGAATGTTGCTTTATGACGCTGTTTAGTCTTTGTGTACATTTGCCCCGAAGCGGCCAACGTGCGCCTCAAGATGACATACTCGACTGCCAAAGCATCGCTCTTGCACGACTTGCAGCGGCGTGGCATCCTAGTCGACAGCACGGTACGTTTATAGATACTATTACATGTGTTCCATTGAGTTTTGCCACGTAATGTAGATTGAAGTGACCGATGCTTGGAATGTCCTGGAAGCCCTTCAAGGGAACTCCAGCAAACACGAACACGATGATGGACACCCGAAAGTGTTTGCTCGTCCGGCGGCCCCAGGACGCGGGCGGGCGCGAGGCCGCCGCAGTTAACTTGCATATGGAAAGAACCCCAGCGTTGACTAGTTTATACAACCACTCGTTTATCGTTTGCCCTTCTTCTTTCCCTTCTTCTTGCTCGCCGTGCTGCTCGATGCCGCCGTCGACGGACCGGAGGCGGTTGCCTTGGCGGCTTCCAACTCCTTGGCCAGGCGCTCGGTCCGAATTTGGAGCTTCGGAATGAGTTCGCCCATTTTCAGCATCAAGTCCTTGCGCGTGTGAATTTCGTGGTGAAGAAACGACCCGTTGTCGGTCAATTTGACACGCACCCGTCCTTGGACCGTAGCATCGCGGGAGTATCGCTTGTACGGCTATGGCATGCGATCAGACATGGACGACACCATCGATAAACACGACGTACCTCGATGACGTACTTCAGCTGGAAGTACCGGCACACCTCACCCATTTCGTCGACGATGGGCTTGTCGCACGCAAAGCTCTTGGGAATACGCCGCCCGTCAGCGTTGGTTTTGCTCGAGTCGATGTAATTCGGGTAGAACGTCGCCCAGCGAGAGAAATCCACACTGCTCGGGGTGTTGTTGCCGAAGATCGCGGCGGGGCCGCGGTTCAAACCCATCAGTTCTTCCATGTCTTCAGGGTCCATGTCCATTCCAGGGAAGCCCGGCATGCCGCCGCCACCGCCCATTCCTGGCATCCCTCCCATACCCGGCAGACCACCCATACCACCGCCCATGCCCATAGCTTGCATCGCTTGCTGCATTCGTTCTGGCGTCATTCCAGGCGGGATCGGCATCCCCATGGATTTCATCATTTGTGTCATTTGATCAAACTGAGCCTTCTGTTCCGCGGAGCTCCCAGAGTTAGAATTGCCCCTCGCTATTTGAATCGCATTGGAGTCGTACAGTTCACCCGCGACGTTCTCCTTCGCTCGGCCCTTCGGTCGTCGGGACATGGTCAAGTCAAAACTTCCTTGTACAGCCACTGACGTGGTGACTGTTTGTAAGTATACTACTAATAGTAATACTATTAATACCTACTTTTTATTCAATCGCCCGGATGATTTAAAATGATACGACCACAAGTGTACTTCGAAGTGTTTTTTTACAAAGAATGAATAATAATTTACATATATTATTCATAACTGTAAAATGAATAAAAAGTGCGTGTACGAAATATTATTAATATTAGGCCCAACTGCAAATCAAAGGTGATGTTGATGTGACGTGTGAGAGCTTATCATGACCAGAGGATAATATATATATATGCAGCCACTTATCTAGCAATTATCTTCTCTACCACATCTTACTCGCCCGAGAGCCCCATGTTGACTTCCCCACCAAAGATGGATCCGGCAGCAGCGAATCGTTCAGCTTGGACGCGTTGAAGCTCAGCCATGCGCGTAAGAAAGGCGGTCTCTTGCTGGTACTTCATCATGGCTGCTTGAAGCACTTCCCTTGACAGGCCGTGCTGTTGGTGAATGTCGTTGGACAGCTGGTCCGCCTTCTTCACGTAGCGCTGGTTAATCGCTTCTTCCTTGTCCACAGGGTCCAGCAACTTGACTTCCTGGCACACCTCTTCCATGGCCACGTTCAGCGATTCCATGGTTTCTTCCATGATGAACAGGAACTTGTCCAAGGTCAAGTCCTCCGGCACTTCAACGTCCATGGCACCAGACCCTGTGATAAGGTTGTGAAGTTCGCGCAGCTTGCTCAATTCGGCAAGGACTTCGGTGTCTTCAATGGACTCGTAGTACTCCGAGGCGACAGTCACGTCTTGTTCCGTGGTGGTGTACTTGGTGTACACTTGAGACTCGATGGCCTTCATGGCTTCCTCAAATTGGCCCATCAAGTAGGCAGCCAATTGGTCCTCCGGTAGTCGGCGGCCGCTTTGCGAACTTTCTTGTCGGATCTTTTGCTCGATGGAGGCCAACGACATGACAACTTGGCCCATTTGCGTGGAAATCACGCCCAAGATCGCGAGGAGTTGCTCCTTTGGCAGGGAAGGCACATTTGCGAGCGAGGTGGAGGCAGAGGACTCGTCCGCTGCGTCGCTGGCAGATTCCTTGGATGGGGTGGAGCTCTTGGACGACTAAAACGACGATTAGCTACGTTTCTGCAGGGAACAATGACGTACAGATTTGCCACTTTGCGATTGATAAATGATGAAGAGCGCGGCAATCACCGAGACAGCAATGGCGCTGATGACAAGTGGCTTGGACAGGGACGACATCGCTGGGGGCTTGTGGAAAATGAACTGGAGGCTTTCGAGTTGGTGGTGTCACAGTAGTGGCGGTGCTGCACCAGCCACCGAATAAAATAACAAAGTCACGACCTCAATTAGACACAAAGCCACTATTTCAAGGCTTTTTACCAATTTCGATTGATCTTCTTTAAGGACTGTTGTTAAAACGAGGTGTTTCTCTTGCACTGTATGCAATGTCACCCATCCGGATACGGTGTGAAGTCTATGTGACTCTTCTGACACGTTATTGGCGATTTTGCATGAGAAGGGCTTCCGATTTGGTCAACTTGGCAGTTGGCTGTATCCCCTTCATCGCCATGCTGCATCAACAATGATATTCATGACAAGGTGTATATGTAGTAAAAGGGCCCTTGGTCGCACGACTCTGTGCCTATAAAGCATGTCAAACGCTGCGGCACAATGGAATTTCCGCGGACAACGTGTCAAGTGCCGTCTTTTTTCTTGTGCGATTGATCGAAATGATATTATTGGACATCCCTCAGAAGTTCCTTGCAGTTTCTTTCACCCCCTGTTGACGTTGTAAGTTTACTAGGATTTTGATTTTCGGGGAATTATTATAATTTGATTGCCCAAACAAATATTTTGTCGAGTTATACTAGTAATAATTTGTTTGCCCAAACAAATATTATTGTGGAGTTCCTATCCAATCAAAACACAGAGATCAGTCCAATCAAAGCCCAGCGATCTCGTGCGTTTTTGCAATTCCACCACGATGAGCGACGAACCTCGAAGCAAGCTCGATTCCCGCAACGAAGTGCCGTCGCATTCTGACAGCCTAGAAGCTGAAACACCGCGGTACCTCACTCGAGCTGATGCGTTCAACAGCGTGTTCCAAGGCGTTGGAACAGCGGCGGCTCAACCCCGAGAACAACTGGTTAAGAATGTAACCGGGACAATGGTCGTGTTGGTGCATCCAAGCCAAAGCGGCAATCCCATGCTACACCACATGCAGAACGTGTTGCCAGAAGTCAACGCGGACATCACTGCCGACTACATGATGGGAGACACGTGTGCTGCATACTTCATTTCCGTGCGGTATCACATGTTGCATCCCCATTACCTCAAGAACAAGTTGGCCCGCGCAACTCGCGTGAAAGTGCAGGTGTTGGTGTGTCACGTAGACGTTTCCGACAGCGAGTCGGCTCTGAAGGAGATCAATTGCGAGGCCTTGAGTGCGGGTTTCTCGCTCCTCTTGGCCTGGAGTTGGAAAGGTAGTACATGCATGTCCCCCACCTGCATCAAACTACATCACGACATCCCACAGAAGCGGCGCGATACATTGAAACATTAAAAGCGTACGAAAACAAGTCGGCAGCACTGATCAAGGAAAAGGTGGAAGGCGACTTCAATTCCCAGCTCATAGATGTGTTGACCACAGTGCGATCTGTCAACAAAACCGATGGTATGTGTGACACCGCATCGGCCACTTTGCCTTTGACTCCATGCTTAGTGCTAACCTTGTCGGGGTCGTTTGGGTCCCTTCGACGGATCATGAATGCCACCGAAGAAGAGCTGGCGCTGTGCCCGGGGATTGGGGGCAAAAAGGTTCAGCAGCTACTAGAAGCCTTCAACCAGCCATTCCACAGCTAAACAATGTAGAACTCAAAAGTGCATTCCAAACATTTCTACTTTCGCTTGCGCAAATCCGCAGCCAACTGCGCCGCCATCTCGGTTTGCTTTGCCGCTTGTTGTTGGGCGTCGGCTTCTGCCTGGCGCTTCTTCTGTTCGGCCAGCTCTTCTTGCTCCGACATGTGGTTGATAAATTGAACAGCTTGCGCAAAGATGCTTTCACCCCAGTTGTCTTGAGGCTGAAGGGCTTGTGCTTCTTCACGGACTTCTTTGATCTCTTCGCCAATCATCTCCTCGGCCAACTTGAAGCTCATGTACGACCCGTCCTTGATCAAGTCGTTCGTCTTGAGTTTGTGCATGCCTTGCGCTTCTGTCTGTATTCTTCGGATAAGGGGGATGTCCGCCACGGCTCGTCGGAACAGTGCCGAGCAAAGCGTCTTCATATCTTCTTCAGTCAACACTTCAGGCGCCTTTTCTTTCAATGCGCGGTACTCTTCGATTTGCGCAGGCAACGTGAAGTCGAACCCGTTGATCATTTCCTCCAAGATGTCATCGCCCTCCGCACTCTTCTTGGGTCGCATTGCGTTCACAGCACTGTACACCAAGAACAACGCGAACACTAGCACACCGACAGCAACCCATTCCACCGCAGACACCATGACAAGCTGATTCGTGAGGTCAAAGCACAATGAGACTGTTCCTTCCACAAAGGTCAATTAAAATATTCGAAATTCCATCTACACGTTTGTATGAAATAGAATATCGAAGGTCATTTTATTGGCCAATCACAACTCACCACTTGGCGCAGAAAATACAGCCATCCGCATAATTGCCCTCGAATTAGCGATATTATCCGGCTTTTGTATCTTTCTAAAAACGTCGTCAAGCATTGCGAGTCGGCGGCGCCAATCATGGCATACCGCGACCTCACGACCAAGTTCCAAGCCAAGCGAAGCATTGTCAATCGGCGCCAGCAACATCAGTTGAACTCAAAGAAGCCGCTCGATGGCATCAGCCCATACCTGTCCAACCTATTCAGCACATCGTCAAAGGTACGCTTGGATTCATGACCGACCTTAAGCCTATGTGTTGAAGAATCATCGGCGAGGACACGAAGCGCTGCTTCGAGATGTTGAAGAGAATACGCTACCTCCAGCTACCAGGCCAATTTGGGCAGATTCTGTGGACAAAGTGAACGAGTTGGCGAGGCAGTTGGAACTCAAAAGTGCGTACAGTACATCCATCCCTGTCCTTGTCCTGCGCGCTAACATCAGTTGAACTCAAAGAAGCCGCTCGATGGCATATTATGTTAGTTGATTTCCTCCAAAAAATACACACAAGGCGGCTCATGGTTCGATTCGACGAGTCTGAAGCCCAGCACGATCTCGAAATTGACTCGCTGACTCGGGAAGTGTCGGTCTTGTTTCGGCATTCGGAGACGTCGCTGCAGCGGTTGTCGAGGGCAGTCACGTCCTCATCCAGCGCTGCCGGAACCCAAGTGTGTGTGAACATTCAACGCAGCCTCGCGTGTCGATTGCAAGACCTGTCCCATCGATTCCGAACCATTCAGAAGGAGTACATGAACGCCCTGCAGACCCAGCGCCAAAAGTCGCATCTGTTTGGACTTGACGACGGCGGAAACGCGTCTACACGTCACAGTTTGAGCGCGCGTCAAGCGTTGTTTGCGCAGGATGACGACGACTGCGCCATCGAAGCGCGAGAGCGGGAGATTCAGCGGATCGCCAAATCGATTGTGGATTTGGCAGCAGTGTTCAAAGCCCTGGCCAACATGGTCATCGACCAAGGAACCATGGTGGACTGCATCGACTACAACATGGACATGGTACGATCGATTGACACGAAATTGAATGCATCTTAGCGTGGGTAGGTCGTGGACAGAATGGAAATGGGTATGAAGGAACTCCGCCGAGCTGAAAAATACCAAGCCAACTCGAGGTCCACTCGCTGCATCTACCTGCTGCTCACGTTGATATCCATATGCCTGTGCATCCTCATGCTAAAACATGCAAACCCGTACTATTAGAAATTAAACTGCACTTTTGGATTATACGCTGTACAGTTATTACTATTAATAGTATCTATAATATGGTGCACATCATCTAAAAACTTCGAACTGGCCAAATCGATGAGTGGAGGTTTTACTATTTAACGTACATTAGTAGGAAATATATAGGCGAAATGGACTAAAAGTAGGAACATTTTCCCTACGAAATCAATTAATGTACCGTTTTTTGGTAGTTAAACCCAAAAAACAAATACGTTAAACAAAAAACCCGATTTTATGCGTTTTATCACTGCAGTGGGAGGTTAAAGGCCCAAATACCTCCGGATATTAAATACGGATAATACTCACATACAAAACTCAAGATACATCTCAGCAGCCACCAACTTATGGCCAAATATCCAAGCGCCCATATAAAGTACCGCTAGGTTAAATATCTATTTCTGGACCAATTCATCACCAAATTTGAAATTTTGAGTAATGAATATGAAATAGAAGTCAGAAAATTTTGTGAAAAGTTGGTACTAGTAGTTTATACTGGTACTGGTAGATAGTAATGCTATTGTGCTTTCGAGTGAAATTTCGTGTTGTGGTGTGGTTTCTAGTTAGAATTTAAATCGATTTGATTGGCTACTTCAGATAAGCTCACAATTAGTAGCCAATCAAAAAACCCTCTCAATGAAATTCAACCAATCAGATCGATTGTGGATCGATTTGGTCGGCGCGATTCGATTGCCAAATTTGTACCACTGTAAGTACTGTAGTATTCGATAAAAGGACGCCGCTTGGGTGAAAGCGTTCGAAATAATTATCCCGATGAAACCGTCACGACAGGGTACACTGCAAAAGTACGTCGCGAGCAAGGGTCAAGCATGAAGAAGTACTTCCACTTCACGCTCTCTCCGTCCAAGAAGAAGTACGCCGCAGAGAAGCAAGCGTTGGAGAGTGCACTGCAAGACATCGAGAACAAGAAGCATCGCCTGTTTCAGCCAAGATTGGGCGAAGACGACTATGACGACGTTGCCGACGACGAAATGTCCTCGACAGAATCCACCACCACGTTTCACATTGGCCAAATCGACGACGAGTTTCGGTACCGCCAGCTCAAGTCCAGACCGATGACATCAGATTCCAAGCCCTCCTCGTTAACCATTCCACGCCCGCATTCCGTCGACGACCCAAAGTTCCTCGCAACAATCGATGCTATCGGCGTACCAGTCGCATTGCACGTACCAAAGGCGCCTCCAATGTCTTCTGCCATCGTTAGTGACAGCTTCCAACACATGACGCGAGCCTATGCATTCGATTCCCTCAAGCAAAAGGTTCCAGGCTCGATTGACTGGGTTGTAACAGACGTCCTCGTGCACGACGAAGGCAAGGGCCCTGTGCGACTAGGGGCAATCGAAGTCTATTTTGGCACAACGTTGGGCGAGACGAGGAACCTCATTGGGAAATTCGTGCCCAACGCGCCAAAGGCATATGCGTTCTGTCACGGCACCGAGCATGTAGAGGTCGACGCACTCCGGGAGAATTCCGTGCTAGTGTCCGACGTGTACGATGGCGCTATCCGCCTCAAAATGACCTCGGCGGCCAAATCCAAAGAAGAAAAGCTCAAGCGGCTCATGGTAAAAGACCGCCAGCAAGCCGCGTTTGAGCAATTTGTCGTGAGGCAGCAACTGGTCGAGCCAAAACCAATTGTGGCATCGACGATTCGTGTAGCCGACGTCAAGCCTCCACCGAAACCCCCGCTCCAATCAACCCCCCCAAGTGGACTACCACACGAAGCTCTCACCACAACAGCATCGCTCAAGCATACGATTTACCACACGCAAACTACAATCGACGGCCAAGAGTGCCAGGTCAAGTTTGTGTACTTCCCAACGCAAAGGCGGATCGGCATTCGCGTCAAGGCTATACACGGCAAAACGAAGCCGGCCACCACGACCGTGGACGAGTTGGCCTTCCGGACGATGGTCGGGGCCTCCAATGACGACCTGTCGTTGCTCGGTATAACTACTAAACCTGCCAGTGGGTGACTTACGTGATGATGTGATAGAGTACACGCTCAACGAAGCTAACACCCAGAGCATTCTGCACAGCTTAAAGCTGGCCCCGTCGTTCACCGACTCGGACGATACGTTCATCGTACGGCTGAAGCGGTTTGTACATGTTCCGAAAATGAAGTTCCGTCGACAGAAGAAGCGCGTGGACGATGACGTCGTCACGTCTGACATCAAACACAGCCCCCCGCCTCTGTCAAAGGTCGAAGCCCCCAAACTGGTCAAGCACGTGGCCGCCCCGATCAAGGAGCCGCGGGATACTAAAAAGGCAGTGGCCGCCCCCACGCCTCCGCGTAGCCTTACGCCGACTGTAGTGGACATTGAACCCCGTGAATTGAAGCGAAAGCGGGTGCCAACGCCACTCCCAGTGCATGACAGGTATCATTCTCCAACTCGGCACACTCATGCCAAACCACATGCCATCCAAGTCGGTCCAGCCAAGGAGTACAAGACCAAAGGCGAAGACAAGCGCGGCAAACCACTTTCAAGTGAAGCTTCGACGCCCGTGCCCGCTTTGACCGTTCCGTCGGTCGACAGCAGCAACCACCGCCGGCTGCGCGCCAGTTTAGAAATCGCCGCGACAAAAGCCACCGCTCCAACCCCACTCGACGACGACGACGACGATCAACCATCTCACCCGATGGTGAGCAAGTTGAAAGCCATCGACACGAGCGGCATCGAGAGCGCCTTGAAGAAACTGAGGGCGTTCGTGCACAGCGGCGCCGCCATCCACATGTACCACCACGAGATTCACAAGGCCGAAATCGACAAGGTGTACGGCCCGCACTCAAAATCCATCTCGTTGGCGCGGCATTGCGTGGTCGCGGCGTTTCTCACGTTTGTGCGCGACCAAGGCATTCTCTTGGTGCCCCATCCGTTCGAGTACGCCGTGGACATGGCCCACCCGACTAACGCTGCGTTCCACGAGCTCGTGCTGGCTGTGCAAGACGAACTGACAGTGTTCGACTCGGGAAGGACTGCCGACATTCACAAGGACATTCGAAAGTGCGTCATGGACGACGTTGGCCCTCTCGTGAGTTTGGTCGACAAGCTTAAGGACGACGACATGGACAAATCAGTGCAAGCTTTGGCCATGGTCGAAGCCAAGCTGCTACTCGTGTGTCACGTGGCCCAGTGGGGGCAGCCCACGCACCTCCGCACGAGCATATTTGAAGGCACGTTCGCCACACTGACCAAGCGAGAGACCATGGATCTGTACAAACTCACGTACGTACCAGCCAAGGAGAAGCCGTTTTTGCCCCAGTTCATCAAAAACCAAGCCATTCTCGAGCCCGAGTTCAAAGCTTTGTTGGAGGTGCTGTACATTTTGATCTTTTCGTATTACGCGAGCCCGCGGTCGTCAGCAGACAAGAAACTGCGGTACTTTACGTCGCTCGCAACTACTCAAGTCGACCGGGTACAGCTGGTTTTGCAAGCGATTGAAGAACGCCAGGGAAAGCTCATGGACATCCATTTGGCATACACCGACATCAAGTCGGAGCTGCTCCTGCAGCGCGTCCAGCAGCTCATGTCATGCATTCCCCGCGCCAAAGTACTTGTCAAGGACAGAACGTGCAAACTGCCGTCGTTCTTGGCCAACGTGGCCACCTTCTTGGCCGGGACGTTCGTGCTGTTTCAGCAAACACTCGTCACGGCGTTGGCTTCGCACAACAACATCCAGATGGCGCAGACGCTGCGGTTCTTTGTGGAGCTAGTGAAGGCCCACGTCAGCCACGACAGTATCATCCCACAAGTAAGTATCATGGGGAAGCACCTCGCAGACTCGCTGGGGCCACGGCTGACTGGGCTAGACAAAATTAACATGGAACGGGTCAAAGCCAAGCTGGACAAGGTGACTGTGGGCGGGAACTTGTGCGAAGCTGTGTGGCGTCAAGCGCACACCGTGGCCACCAACAGCTTGCTGCAGTGGAAAGCGCGCTGGGACAGCCCATTGGATGTGGCCACGGAAGCCCTCGATCGATACGTTTTCAAAGCCGAACACGAATGCATTGGCGAGTTTGTCGTGCTCATGCCAGCCCCGAGTATGGCCGCCGACCCAGCAGAGCCGACTCGAGTCGAAACCATCGACGTATCGCAAGAGCTGCAAGCAGAGCACGACGATATGCTCAAGCACGTGGGGGCCATCTGGGCCAACTTGCTCGAAAGCCCGAAGAAGAAAACCGGGGGGACCCATCGCATCGCGTTTGGCCTCAACCTCCGCCGCATGGAGCTGTTGACACCGGACATGCTTGCATCCACGAATGTGCTCTACTTTCTGTCGCACCCCCTGGTAAAACACGTTGGAGTTGGATATGCGCTGGCGCACAACGTGCTTCGAGTCCACATTCGATTTTACGGCGCAGGGCAACCCAGTGCCATGGACGGGACCGCCACCACTCACGTGCGCGAATCCAACGCGTTCAACGACCTTCTCGTCCATATTGCCGACGCGGACGGAGAGCACGTCGGCCTGTTCATCTTGCAGAACGGTTTCCATTTCGTCATGGACAACCTGCTGGCCCAACGGCACGTGGCGTGGCAACGGTTGCGCCTCGGGGGTGCGTTTTACACGTTACTGCTTGAAGATCGATTGGTGGCGAGGTTCTCGGAGGCCGTGATGAAGAAAGCCATCACCAAGCTGTTGGCAACCATCGCCGATAACGCGTCGCTTCTGTCGATTCACTTGCTGCAGCTGTTGATGGACTCGATCGCTCGAGCCAACAACGACTGCGACGGCAACGACCCGGTCTTGTCGCTGATGCATTTTATCGGAGCGGCCGCGCTGCGCCTGCTGCAGACCCTTGTCAGAGTCCACGCATCGCCAAGTACTGTCTTGGACATGTCGTCCATGGTGCCATCCGTAGAACTCGACCATCTGCACCAAAAGCAGGTGTGTAATACTGCATGCAATTATTGGGTTTATGACTGACGCCGTTGGTGGATAGAAATACTTTGTCGCGTGCAAAGGCATGCGTCTGCTCGATGCGATGGTGTCGGCCCCGACGTTTGTAGTGTCGGGGGTGCTGCTGGACGAGACGTCTACGTACCAACTTTGCCACCAGCTACTGATCGATCTCTTGCTCACGCACGAGTTCGCCCTTCGCCCCCGGGCGTTGATTGTGCACCACAATCTGTGGCTGGCCTACTTCCTCCCCGACGTAAAAGCCGAAAAACTCGAGCCGTTTGTCCATGTGGTGCTCACGTCGTTTTCCCAAGTGCTTTTGGGGACAGCGTCCGAAGTGTTTTGGTTTTCCACGAGCGTGGTTTGCGACTGCGGATGTGCCGACTCTGTTACTTGGTACAAACATGGTGTCATATACATGTTGACGACGGATATTGGTAGGAACATTGACATGTACGAAAGCGTGCTCCACGTGTACTTGGAACTGATCCAGACCCGATCGGGCAGTCGGTGGGCCCAAGAGCGAAACATGTTTGGGGTATTGTCCCTCCTAAAGATGCTGGACACAGTGTACGTCAAAGCCATGCCGCCTGCGTCGCCCACCAAGGTGCTGCTTCTGCGGACCATGTTCACTCTGGCCCAAAAGATCAAAGTGGCTGACAACCTGGTCAAGTTGTTCGAAATCGTACCGGCCGAATTGCTTTTGTTTTTCACCGCCAGTAGCGCCCCGAGCCTCGACGTTGAAGTCTTCCGCCTCTTGGCGATGCTGTTGCATTTTGGTCTGCAGCGAAAGGTGCCGCAACTGAGCATTGAAGTATACGCAGCGGTCGTGGTCGACATTGCATGTGTGGTTGTGGGCACGTTGAACCCCCACGTGATGGACATCATCCCGCCCTTGTGGTCGGACGTCGACTTGTCTGAGATCACGTTCAAGAGCTCGCGAACTCTACGATTGGTTGCTGCCGAACACGCGCAGAGCCTCACGGACGAGTCTAGACATGGCACACCAAGCTTGCTCATGCTGTTTGTGCTGCTGGTCGACTCGAAGCTGGACAAATCCATTCACATTTTGCACTTTCCAGCAATTCTCGGGCTGTGCGGCATGCTCTACGACAAGGAGCTGGCCGAGATTTGCACGCGGGCCAACGTCCTCGTCCAACTCCTCGATGTGCACGAGACCAGCACGACGCTGTTCATCTCGACCAAGCAGCAGTTTTGCATCTGGGCCGTGTGTCTTATCTGTTTCCACGTCGCGCACAACGCGAGCTTGGCGCCGAGTGTGTCGAGCCAGACGCTCAAGCGGATTCTGCAGCATTCGTACAGCAGTCTGGGTATGATCAACCGAAGTCGGTCCACGCGGCTCGACTCGTACGTGCAGCAAGTCAACAAGAACGGGTACGTGGGGCCAGTGGAACCTCCGCCCCCGCCACGGGACCACGTCATGTCGGGGAAGAAGCCACGAGATCCTCTTCAAAACGACACGTTGAAGCTGCTGTCGAGTTTGGCGCTTCAGCTCAAGACGCTGTTCGTGTCCAACGATGCCAACACGATGCGCCACCATGCGTCCACATTCCACACGCTGAATAATCACGTGTCTAAGACCGATCGGCTGCTGGAGTGGGAGGACAATCTAGAGACGGCCGCCGTAAGCGACCGCGACGACCGCACGTCCACGCTCTACTTTATTCTCGTGAATGCTGTATCGTGCATGTCGACCAACTTGATGCAGATCAAAGGCGCCGACGAAATCAAAGTCATTTGCAGGTCCATTGTGGTACGACGATCGGTCTTTGTATGGTGAACGTGGGAGTGGTGTGGTGAGAGTACTTTGAGTGTGCCAAGTACGATATCGTATCGAATGGTGTGGTTCATACGCTATGCATGCATTGGTAGGGGTATTTCATTGCCGAGGAGCTGACTCCACCAGAGTACTTTGTTGCCACGTATTGCTTTGCGCTGCGTAATATTGTGTTTGCCGTGTGTCGCGGGGCCAACTTGAACGAACTGTGGGAAAAGCAGCCGCTCAACGTGTTTTTGACAAAGCTGTTTGGGTTTATCCAGCAGAAAAAGGTCATGTCGACCACGGGGTTGAGTGTAGGCCAAGAGTTTTCGTTGGAGTTGCTCTGGGGGATGCTCATGATCTCCAAGGGCAAAGAAACGTGGTTCCTCCAAGACGTAGACAACGACATGCCATTGCAAGCTTTGGCCCCTCTAAACTTTACATCGGCCGCAGAGATTAGCTCTGGAAAGACACTGCCCGCCCTCGATCGCACTAAGTTGAAAATGCTCGTGGACTGCGCCAGTAGTCAGGACGTCGTGGTCGCCGAATACGCGTGCGCGTCGCTAGCGATTTTCATGCAAAACCCTGACACGGCGCTGTTCTTCATGTGCGAGTTTGGGTTTAGCCGGGCTCTGATGCTCCTGCAACAGTATCGCAACAAGAGTCCGTCCAAGTCACCGCAGTACCGAAAGTCCAACTCGATCGTCCTGACCCGGATCGATGTTGACGCCAAGAAATACGTCCGGGAGGTGGCAGGGGCCAGCGCCATGTACGCCGAAGGGTTCCGGCTCAACCGCGACGGACGGGCATGTGTGCAACTCGTGCGGTTTGTCGCCAACTGCATCCGCATTGTAGCCAAAGACAGCTCAATTTCCACCGACTACATTTCCACGTCCGAGGTGATTGAAAACGATATCATTTATGGACTGAAATACATACTCATGACTGAAAATGATGCCTTTCTTTGATGTAGAAAGTGACCAAAGATACGTTTGTGGTGCTCCTGCACCGAGCGACAGATCCAGCGGTGCTCGTGCAAGTGTTGCGGGGTTTGCGTAGCTTGATCAGCGTCAGCTCGCCTGCCAACTTCGACAGCTATTTTACCAGGCACGATTTCGATCATTTGCACAAGATGTGCGTGGATGGGAGTTATACGTCCCCCGTCCAAGCCATGGCGTTGAAGTGTACACGACTGCTCTTGAACAAGTACACGACGTCGATTCCGCTGTGTCGGCTCATGTTTGACGATCGAGCAAAGGTCATCGAATTGTTTGACCATCACTACCTACGCGTCAAAGTGCAGGTATGTAGCCCTGCTTTCACAGGCATGCCTAGTAACGCACAGCATCACATGTCACGACGGGTAGGCGGTGCACTTGATGCTCGACCTCGCACTGATCTACATCAACCCCGTCCAAATGCGGCTCCTAGCGGACGATTTCAACACCCCACAAGCGAAAGCAGCTCTCAGTGCCATGTTGAGTGAATTTAGCGCCATCTTGCAAGACCCAATCCAGAAGGAAGCGGGTCAAGTGCTAATGGACATCCTCATTCGGTTGATCATCCAACTGGACTTGCTGAGTTTCGTCCACGACGACTACATCGTCGACGCCATCTGCAACATGATTCAAGCAGTCACGAGCAAGTCGAACCACCTACCCGGGCAAGAAACCCACCAGGATAACCACATGATCAAGCCATTGCGGCCGATGGTACGGGCTCCAGCGTCTACATAACAAACATGCCAACTCACGAGGCTATTGTAGCTATGTACGTCGTTGGCCAAAGTCATTTGCAAGGGAGGCAATGCCAAGTGGTTTCTCAAACCAGACCGATTGGATGTGGTGGTGGCTGTGCTTGGCCAAGATTCGACGCACACGGAACTGCTCGACGTCGTGTGCATCTTGCTGACGTTGTGCAAAGAAGAGTCGGCCATCGCAACGTACTTGGGCACCTATTCGTCCCATGCGATTCGCCACATTTGTTACGTGCTTGGGAGTTTCTACGAGTTGCAAATGGTCAATGTCGTGGAAGTCGAAAAGGGCACGATCGACGTCCAAGACTCGTCCCCACGACCACCACGACCTACGCATGACGACAGAAATACCCCTAGTGGTGACGAAAGTGACACTCATATTTCCCTTGAAGTGGGCATGCTCAAAAAGTGCAGAACCATGAAGAAGCGATTGCTCCTCAAAGTGTACTTTCAAAAGACGGAGGAGCTCAAGATTTCACGGCACATGTACAAAATCTACAAATACGTACGTTGATAGACTTGTAGTGTATATATTATTTCGTCATGCTTACCTAGTGGTTACTGTAGTGCTTGGTCCTGTTGAACATGATTCTCGACGCCTGTGGGTGCGATGTGGCCGAAGTGTTTGGCTGCACCTGTAAAACCAAAGACGGTTGCTACATGTGTACTCCAGCTGACTTGCTCCGAAAGGTATGTAATGAACCATCAAGTCCGTAACGCAGAATTGTTTGTGACGTTTGCTGCGCTAGGCAAATGCAGGGGAAACATTCCGGTGGCTGCTCTTGGCTAAACGGATTCGGGCCACGGAAGGAGTCATGTACAACCGCCTGCCCGACCGAGAAGCCAACTGCATCGTGTTCAACGCCCTCCGGATCCTCAAGTCCGCTTGTTTCAACCACTTGTTCCGGCAGCAGCTGCTCGATGCCACCTCAGCTAAAAAAATGTCTGGTCAAACCACGGCCGTGCTGATGAAACTTCGAGATATCTGCGGGGACATCAACAATCCGTACGTGGCCAAGCAGAAAGGGTCTATTTTGGACGCCGTTGTTGTGGTTGGCCAGCTTTGTTCAGAGGACGGGGTCCGGGAGTTCATGGGCGTCACCGCAGACATTTCCACGCACTTGTTTTCGATCATCAACGACAGGTGCGAATTCCATGTCTGTGAACAACCTTTAGTTAAGTCCGCTAGCTGCTAACGCAGCTAGTACGCGGCCGAGGCCATTAAGTGTCCGCTGAGTGATTTTAACTTTACAGCGTAATATCAATATCTATGTCTGTGAACAACCTTCTAAGAATTGGAACGGATGATGATAGAGTGCAAGTAAATGTCCTGCACATGCTTCGCGCGTGCTTGTTGGTGCTGTGCCGCGTGGCCAGTAGCGAACATGTCGTGTCGTCCAAGGCTTTCAAACGCACGATCCGACTCACGTGCAGCCTGCTTACGATGGAAACCGTCGTGACCGACTGCGTGTGCTTCAACAACATCATGTTGTTTTGCCGCAACATTGTCGCGTTTGGCAAGCAAGACATGCCACTGATCCACGAGTACCTCTCGGGGTCGATTTTACGCAAGCTGGGACTCACGATGCACACGACGGTGGACTCGCCCGACAAGCAGCTGATTGAGACCAATCTGCGCCTCGTTGCAGCCGACACGGTGTGCTACTTGCTGTTCCATTCGAGCTCTGCGCTGCGGCACGCCATGGCGGAAGAACAAGCGCCAAGGTCGTCGACGGACTCGGCACCGATTGGCCCAAGTTTGCCAACGGTCACAGGTGACCAACCCGTCGATGCTTCCCCCCACGACGACCACACTGTGTTTGCAAAGATGGGAACGTTGTGGCACGCTCACATGCAAAACATGAACTCCGACGAGCTGTCCAGTTTGGGCAGTTTGGACGACAAGCTCCTCCACGTGTACACTGCACTGTACGGTGCCAAGGACGAGACGCAGCTGTTCCTCGACTTGTTGAGCATACATGCGAATATCAAAGCACCTGGGCCGATATTGACTCAGCAAGCTCCTTCCCCGACGGTGGAGCTGTCGCCCACGGGCCCCAATGTTGCCCAACCGGTGCCTGCATTCTACATGTTGGAGCACTCGACGCCGTCGGATTTGAGAAACTACACATTTTTTGGCGGGGCCATGTCGTCCCACGTGCCGGGGTCGCCCTTTTCGTGGAAAGTGCTGCGCAAGTTGATGGCCGGGTTACATCATCGCAGCGAACGACTGAAGCTGTCCAACGCCCAGCTCGCGACTGTGGTCGAGCTGCTCTCGGTATGCCACCCCAACGGATCCAAGAACGAAGTGTCGCGGTCGTCCCAGTGGTGGCTCGTCGAGCTCGAGTCCGAGTTCATTCGATTTGTACACGACATCGTCCACACCCACGCGTTTCTGCAAGCTAGCGACAGTACATTCCACCTGTCGACCAAGACAGCGCTGCGGTACTTTCACTCGGCGGCGGTCGCCCCGCGAGACAAAGACACGTTTTCCAAGCACTTTCGAGGGTTTGTCATCTTGCACGCGTTTGCAAACCACCCGGCGTCCATGCTCAAACTGTGTCACCTCTTGACCGACCAACCGCCACCATCATCCCCCGCCGCTGTCACCACCCCCGACGCGAAAGCGGAGACTGACGCCCCGGACGACGAAGACAGAGTCCCCCGTCTTGCGACAGAGTGCCTCCAGGGCGTGGGACTCGGCAAGCGAAAAGTCACATGGACCAAGCGAGAGCACGGCAAACAGCCCTTTGCCATGACGTACTTTGTCACAGACGTGTCCCACTCCAAGCTGCTCCCGTACGCTCTGGGGGTGCTCACGTCGCTGTACGAACATGACGCCCGCTTCTTGCTGTGGTTCTTGCAACTGGATGGGCTGGACGTGCTCGTGGATGTGCTGGACCTAGAACTGGAGCACCAACACGCCCCGGTGATCCCGTCGCGGGTATTTGTGCTTCTGACTACGTTGCGGTTGCTCAAGGAGAGCGTCGAGTTGCGTCCAGAAGCCATGGGGGTGCTGTCGGCGAACCCGCGCATCTTTTTGCGCCTCGTCGACTTGACATCACATGTCAAGACCCACGTCAAACAAGTGGCCATGGCACTTCTGGCGGCCATGACGACCGCTCCGTGGGTGAGCCAGGGTGTGTACTCGATGCAAGCGTTCGAAGACCTTCCGGTGTTTGGCCAGGAAATCGACGATAGCGTCCTGTTACAACACAAGCTCAAGCAGCTCAAGTCCATCTTTGGGGCTACCGCTGTAGAACGGGACGGCGGGTACGTCTTTGTCGACACCAACACCACCGTGGACCTCAAAAAGTTCACGACGCTGTCCAACTTGCGCTTCTTTCGCATGCTCAAGCTGTCGACCCTGGTCAAGTTGACCAAAGCCCTGGATTCGTGGACAACGTTGGACTCGAAGCACTTTATGGTGTGTGCGGACGGACGCCCTGTGACCATGCCGCTGTGGCTCGTGGAAAAGTACGTGAGCGAAGATATCATGTCCAATCCGACCCTTTCCAGCCACAAACGTACCATGGTGCTGGACATCGTGTCGAAGATGGGCGTCAAATTAGCTCGCCACGGCAATGTGGCCACAGACAAGGGCCACCGGTTGACCCGAGACGACTACATGTCGTCTGTGGATGCCTCCGAGCGGAAACTCGTCGCGACGTCGATTTGGAAAACGATCCACGCGTGTGTGGGTGTCCCTAAGATGGAACGTTTTCGATTCACGCAGCAAATGTATCGAGTGCTTCTCGAAGACCACGCGAGGCTGCTACGCTCCAGACGACTCGACAGTGTGCCGCTGACCGAGCCACAAGGCGGGGCGTTGTACCCGTTCGAGTTGTATGGGTTTTTGAGAACGTGTGTGCTGCTGCGGTCGCTGGATATGGAGAAGATCGGGGCCATGTGCCGTCGCATGTCCTCCGCCCGAGCGTTTTGTGCAGACATGATGACGGGCTTGGTCGTCGTGTGCCGCGGCACCGTGACTGTGTCGTACAAACCGTCCGTGTTTTCGTTCCAACGAACCAAGGCCGCGCAGTGGAAGCGATCGTTTGGACGGGGCGAAGTCGTGTGGTGTCCGTCTTGGCTGTCCACTGACCCTCGCATCGAACGGTTCGATTGGAGTCGGTTCAAAGTCGATGCGACTGTTCACACGACAGTGTTTGAGTGGACCCAAGCGCTGCATGACGCTACGTTTTCCAGCGAAACGTTGTCGCGTTTATCGGTCGACATCAGTGCACTGGTGGATTCCATTGTCGTTCACAAGCGTCGCCCTCGGGAGTTGTGGTCGCACGAGATGACGTCGTTTGCAGTCGAAGAGGCGCAGTTGCGGCAGTTGCAAGTCCACTGCTTGACCGTTCTCGGCCACGTCGCGCAAGTTCCCGACATGGCGAAGATGCTCGTGAACGACATCAGCCTCATCAACGTCGTTGTCGGCATGGCGTTGTCGTCGCTTGAGGATGTCGTGGTCATGGCTGCGGTTCAAACGCTGCAGAGATTGTGCACGCAAGACGCTGGCATTGCTCGCCATCTCTTGGCCATTCCATTAGACTTGTTTCAAGGGCATTCGCTGCTGGATGGACTCGTGGATGCTATCGACATTTGGAGGATGTCACCGCCACTCACGAGCGAAGTGCTTGTCCTTATGCGGCACCTGTACAAATTCGTGCCAGAGGTGGCCTCCTCGATTCCAACGACGTGGACCGAGCCGCACTACCAATTCTTCCAGCAATGCCTTGTCCAACCCGACAACAGTTTGATCCATCGAAACCTCACGGCATTGGTTGTGGAGGCCCTCGTGCAAGCGCCGTCTGTCGTGAGCGCGTTTACCGCTGGGGGATTGCATTGGGGCTTTGCTCGACTGGTGCATTCATGCGACCAGTCGCTCTTGTGTGATGTGCTGCACTTGATGCTGTTGTTTTGCCAGGATGAACCAACCCGGCGTAGCTTGTGGGCTGACCGAACGTATCACCGCGACTTGAAGCCGACGTTGTGTGCCATGTCCACACAGCTCGAGGACGGTTTCATGATGGAGCGCGACGTAAAGTACCTCGATTTTTTTAACCTGTTGTTGCATGGCCACCACGACCCTGGGCGTTGCCGCCAGTACCGAGACTATGTTGGGGCTAGGACAACCTTGATCAAGACGTTAACCGGTCGCATCGTGTCGGTGGAATTGTCTCCTGAGCACAGGCTCGAGTTGCAAGTGTGCATCGAGTGCCTGTGGCGATTGTGCTTCGAGCACCAAGCCAACGCCAAACTTGTGATGATAAGCTGTGACCAAGTCACCGACATCTTGGCGGTCGTGGCCAACTTGTTTGAGCGGTCCCACCACGACCAAGCGTTTCAGATTTCAGTGCTGCACTTGATTCGATCGTTGTGCACAGACCTAGAATTCGCCACAAACGCGAGTGCAGTTGGCTTGCAACAGCAGCTCATCGAGTGCGCATTTTCTTCTCGCCCTGACACCATGTCCACGACGAGACGTTGCGGAGCTTTGCAGGCCGTGAATGCAGCCTTGGAGCACTCGTCGGGGGCGAGAAGTGCCTTGACCTCTGGTAACCTGTCTGCGTGTCTTGCCTTGTATTTGTCGTCGTCAGTCGAGCCACAGTTGCAACGAGATGCAATGCAATTCCTTCGCTTTGCTTGCATCGATCCTTCCGTGCGACGAATGGTGTGGCAGACACAGAACGATCATCCTGGGTCGATCATTGGATGGAAATCCACCCTGCAAACGATCGCGCAATGCCAAACCAACTACGTCAACACGAGAAACCAAGTCCATCAAGAGTTGATCCTGCACACCCTCGGGCTGATTGCAGAATTGTGTCTAGACGAGGCCACGGCTCGAACCTTTTGCGCCTACGAAGATGCAGTTCTGCCCCGTGTCATGTTTGAAATGGCCACAACTCAAGCGTCCGGCGCCATCGTATTCCAGCTGCTGCGCGTTGTGGTGACATTGGCCGAGCACATGCACCAGTGGGCAGATCCACGGTGGTTGCTATGTGAACAATTTGGAACCCAACCCCAAATATTGCGACTGGCCACGCTGCTTGGCGAAAAGGGCTGCAATGCGCTGGTCCTGCGATTTCTGTGGCTGTGGGAGCAGCAGCAGCTTCCATTCGATAGCAACAATCTCGTGGGAGATAAAGCAAGCCATCCCATTCACGTGTATGCCGCCGAAAGTCTGTGCAAACTCGATACAACGGCAACTGAACGCACCATGTTCTTGGGGTATCTTGGTTGTCACCTGAAACGAATGGTCAGAAATGGATGCGATTTGGGAGGATTGAATGATGCCTCGTCCGTGGCAGGTCACATTTGTGCATGTTTCCGCCACGTTGTCGATTGCTTGTCGTTGCAAGATTTGGGCTCTGTGCCTGACAACTGGCTCAGTTACTTTTCATGGTCTCAGGACCCTCAGTACATTCCGTACGCGCAAGTATGGCTGCTCATGGAACTGGTTGTGATGGCGTTCAAGATGTACGAAGTGGAATTGTTGCAACTGACTCGCTCGTTTCGACAAGCGCTGGAGTTTTGCACAAGACAAGCCATTTGCATCATAGAAAGCGTTGACTCTGCCGTGACCAATCAGACGTCGACACAAGTCCTTTGCACTGCTTTCAATGTGTTGGCCTATTGCAAAGATCGTCATGTATGCCGCAGTCGTGTCTTGTTCGATCGAATGGGATCCCTTCTCTGCCAAGCTGATACGTCCCTTGCTATTACGGTACAAAAAACTAGCGCCATTCATTCTACTAAACATCTTATCGGGCACTGTAGATCTTGTCAAGTGTCCACGCCCTAGTTGGCAACAACTCGACGTTATGTCTATGGCTAGCAAAGTCAAAGGTGGACATTCTGCAGTGGCTCGTCGACCTCGTCAATGTCAACACTGACGCAACCGTTGAAACCCTGGCGTTGGCTGTGCTACATGCGTTAGTAGCCCAGTCGTATCGATTTGCAGCCAACGCCATTGGACTGGACGTACCGTTTCTATGCGTTCGACGAAGTATACTGGCAACTCCCGAGTGCGCCTACCTGTGGTTGCGGTTGATAGGTCGTCTGGTTATGGTTTGTGGTGCTACAAAAGTGTATGGACGAATCGACGAGCCCATGACAAGAGAACTCTGCTACTTTCTCATGTCCACAGCTGCGTCAGGCCTCAATACCGAGTCCAACTGGCGTTCATGGCATTCATCGACGACGTCCGTCGTGGGTTCGGCGCTGTTCCACAAGCAGCTCGTTAGTGAATGGACGTCGTGTGGCTCGAGCTTTGTGGCCGCCCTTTTGAACAACATCCTCACGGAACCAATTGAGGACGCGCATCGAGCAGCGCATAGTCTATCATTGGTCAAGATCTTGATTGGATCGAAGAACGATGTGTTGGTGCAAACTATCTTCAGTTTGCATCGCGAGATGGCTACGATTGTCAAGCACGCCATATCGTTTCAGTCCCCACCATCACCACAAAACCAAGTACTGCTGCTAGAGTTGCTGCACAGTTTGCTCTTGAGTGTTAACGAGAATGTCAACGGGTCGACGCTGTTCGAACCCCTTTCCGACGCGTTTGCCCACTTTGACACGTTCCCTGCCGCATACCATCCTGTTTGCTTTGATCTGTTGTCCTTGACATTGGCGGCCAAAGTGCACCTGCGCCACCCCACAACGCCGCCTCTTGGCGACGTGCTGCCAACTGTACCGTGGAGTCACATCGTACACTTGGTGTTGAGTGGCCTTCACTCGAGTGAGTATCGGTTGCAGATGTCCAGCTTGGGCCTGTTGGACGCTTTGTTCACGTACTCCAGCCAATGCACTGTCCGAGAATTCGATTTCATGGACATCAGCTTGCTCAAAGCCACCTTGTCGACGATTCTCGAGGAGTTTACCACTGACTCGTGTCTTGATAATCGACTGGAAGCTGTCTGTCGGTCGCTAGAAGGGCGACTTTGCTTTGCTGGTCCATTCAACAATTCATTGGCTATGACTAACAGCCAACCTCGTCCATTTATGCATGCTATGAACACCAAGACGCCCGCACTTGGCGCACACTTGTTTCAAGATTACGGTGCCATGTATTCCATTGCATTGACGTATACTCAACGGTTGGATTTGGACGCCAAAACCAATTCCGTGCACAATCTCGTGAGACACGAGGCATCGCATTTTGGCTGGGGGTGCAGCTTCGTGGTATACAGAACAGTCAACAGCGACACCTTTCACGAGACCGCCATCCACGCGATGTTGGTCCTCCTTTACAACGGACTGCTGCACTCTGGCGACGGAAACGGCGAAGTGTTGGCGAATGCGCCATTTATGCATTGCTTGTTGCGATTCGCAGCAAGCCAACTGTATCTGTCGTTGCGTAAAATGGTATGGACACTCTCATTGTTTGTTTGGTCACTTTGCTGTAGGCGACTGCATTCATTTGGAAAGCCTTGCATCGCGCAAGTGTACCGACCCTGTACGCGTTTTGCAGTTTGGTCTCCCAGTGTCAGCACCGCCTCCTTGGCAACTTGTACGACAATATCCAACTGGAAACACCAGTCGTTGGGGTCGTCTTGGCCGCAAGAGACGAATACAAAGACTTGCTGCTCTCGACATGCGGACTCTTGTGCGAACTTAGCGCAGGGGACACTGTCATGAGTGCCGCCATTACCTCGAAAGACTACATTCGAGACTTGTTGGGTATCCTACAGAAACATCGGCCGAGTCAGCTGAATGCGATCAATATTCAATTTTGGACGATGATGGAACGCCTCATCGATGCGGGCTTTACAGAACTTCACTCAACCAACCCTGGCCTGCTCCTGCACTGCTTGCACTGCTTGGCGCTGGACAACTCCGATACGTTGCGGTTTCAGGCCATTTACGTCTTGTATTTGTTTTGCCAGCACCCAAGCGGCCTCGATCTGCTCCAAAGAATCGTCTTTCCAGGCATCACGAGACATCACGTAGCTACGACCGATGCAAGCGGCGATGCTGCCCCCTTGTTGCCGTCGGGGCACCTGTACGCTCTCACCGAGAGCTTAAAATGCAACCGACCCCGACCCCAGCGAGCGGCCATGTACTTGGTGAGCGAGCTCTGCCATGACCCGCAACATGCTACGACGCTACGATTGTGCCGCCAGTCGCCCACTTCTGTAACCAACCTCGTGGCCCATGTGCTGGCAGCGACGTTAGGCACCACCCATCGGAACCGCGTGCAATTTCGAGGCAACGTGGACGTGTCTGAACCGGATGATCAGTTCAATCTCGTGACAGGGTGCTTTGCGCTGTCGTGTTTGCAGCGGCTCGATGTGCATGTCGATGTGTTTGTTGACGTTGTTTGTGGCAATAAAGTCATCGTCCAGCTGTTTGCGGCCTTGGGCTGGACAAACTACCAAGTACAACACAATTCGGCTTTTCAGTGCTATATTATTGACGGTGTTGTTTTTAGGTATGCCTACCGGCGGCAACATTGTTGTGTCAAATCTTTCGATATGCGTCCACGCCCAACCTCGACGAAGCAGAAAGTTCAACGATTGACGACATGGGCGACGATCTTGGCGATATTGCCCTTCTGAAAGGGCACCTTCGCAGCCACCCGTTGAATCGTATGAAGTGCTTTCGGCACAAAGTCACGACACAAATTCCCAGCTACGTCAAGCTCTTGGCCGACTGGGTGGACTGGTTCTGCAGTCAAAACCACCCAGAAGCGTATCTGGCTGTGTTGGGCTCTGTGTTGGAAGTTCTTTCCACGAGCGTGCAACTGTTCTTTCCGACTATTTACTTTCCCATCCACTCCAGTACGCGCATCCACCACCAACGGCTGCTGGACAACGTATTTGATCTGGCATTTGGCCTTTTGGACCATTCTTCCTTGGGTGACGCTGACGCTGCGACCGTTCAAGTGGAAGCGCTGGGGGTATTAGCCCACCTGTGCAGCCACGTCGAGTATCCGTGCGTGCGATTTGAACACCCCGACGCCATGGTGAAACTGCTAGCGCTTGTCGAAACAGCGTTCGGAAAGCTGCAGCTCGTGGCAGGCCAGCTGCTGCAAGCCGTGACCAAGCATTCACCTGTCAAGGAGTGCATTTACGTCCACGACCTGCTGCATTTCATTGCGTGGATCAACCAGCCGTCGTTCGAGCCGATTCTGGAACCTCTGTTGCATACGGTGAAGCACCTCGTCACAGCCACGCCGTCGCACCATTACAACGCCACGACCATCGCCACGCTGTTGCTCAAAGCCAGTGGTCAACCTCAAATTCAAACGCAACCCCAAGCGACGACGTTTCGACGGATCCAGCTGCACGTGAGTGTGAAACCCCGGGACGGCCTTGGGCGAAACCCGACGTTTGACGCGCAAATCGAGCTGGATGACAACGTGGTGCTCCATCGGAGACTTTACTTGCCCAACTCCATGCACACGGAACTCACATGGTTGCATTCTACTGCTGGACGTACCATCCGAATTCGGCTCGCGCGAGACACTGGAACCGAACCACGAGACCCCATCACTGTACTCCACGTGTGTGGAACCACTAGCCTTCCCACTGTCGTGACTGGGGCGGACGCCGCGTATTTCATCGAAACGCGCGTGACAGACGCGACGGAAACAGACTTGCAGAGTCTCACGGGCCCGTTGGGGCAAGTGCTCAAGCACTGCGTCCAACAAATGAAAGTGGCCGAGCTGGGCTTGCTCTCGGGTCTCATCGGGGAGCTATGCAAGCACGACGACGTATTTTGCAACCCCGACTTGAACTTGTGGTGTTTTATTGCGTACTTGCTGCAGCACGGGAGTGCCCTAGGTGACACGGGACAAGGCATGCAATGTCTGCGCGCGATTGCCGCCACGGCCAGTACTCAGCACCCGCAGCTGCGCACGTTTGTGTCGCACGTTATGTACTTGATACAGCTCTTGGCGATCTACGGCATGTCGGCTCTGTCCAAGCAAGTCCAAGACACCAAAATGAGCGGGCATAGTGGACACCACTGCATGCGCAACAAAGAGTCGATCACCTTCCTCGTGGCCCTAGCCGACATGGTCGCTGGGTACGGCTCGGTGTCATTTGCGGAAGACGTGATGCGGCAGCTCTTCCTGGAACACCGCGGCGTCGTCATGTACCTGTGCGGCCAGCATCGCGGCATGGAGCACGCGTGCTCGGGGTACTTTTACATCCAGTGGCACTTGATGCGGACGTTGCCGTCGCACACGATCTTATTGTCGCAAGCCTGTTTTATACAAATGAACTTGCGCCACTTTGTCGAAAGCGCGCACGCTAGCGACGACAGCGTCGACCAAGCGACCAAAGTCATGCTGCACATGGTGTCCAACTCGGTCGCATGCCACCAATTCGTCGTACACAACGGTAAGCCTCCTATACGTCTCAGCTAAAATCACTAAGGTATACTACTCGTATGACAATAACATTCGTGTAGGGTTGCATCTGTTGGGTCGAGTGGCGCAACTTCTCATGGCCAACAACACCGCGAGGGGGATCAAACATATCGCGCCAGTGCTCCGCCAGCTCGTCCTAGTTGCGTCCTTCTTGTCCGAGAACATGCTGTCACAGGTGCCACTGCCGCAAGAGGTCGAGCGGCTGTTCTTTCCGTCCGCCGTGACCAAGGACGTGATGCCGTTTCTCGAAATCTTGCTGTGGCCGCTCATGCCCGGCGCCAACGGGGTCTTCACGTGGACGGACTCGTCCGTTTTGGCGGCCAAGGTGCTGAGCACCGTGATCGAAATGCGGTCGTCCAGACTCTTGCTTGAGAACCACTTGATTCACATTTGCTTTCGACTCAAGGGGGCGTCCCGCGTGGAGGCTGTCCAGGCGGCGATCGCCATGTGCTTGGAATGCACGGCGTGGGATCAAAAACACGCCGTGGACGTCATCCAACGTGTGTACTTTGTCGCAATTCGCAAAGGCATCAAGCTGGGGATGCTCTCGGCCGAATGCACAGAGTTGTTACCTCAGACAACGTCCTCCAAAACCGACCAGCACGAGGTGAGCCGCAAGAGCGTCGTGAATCACTCGTCCAAGAGACTCCACGTGGCGAAATCGGACGGCAAAACGGCCATCGTCCAAGAGGCGCTGACCCCGTATCGAGACCAGTTGTTGTATTGTTTGAGCTTTACCGAACAGCACCGCGAAGGCAGGCTGCGCGACATTCTCGTGCGGAGCCGCAAGAAAGGCATCAGCGACATGCTCAGCGCCGTCAACAACGCCGCGCGAGTGCTCGTGCTTGTCCACAACGTGCTACAAATGTTCTTTGAAACGTACGTGAGCGTGGTCAGCAGCTCCCACATCGAATACAGCGACGTCAAGGTAAAAAAAGTGCGGTACTTTTGCAAGCAACTGGAATCGATCGCGGCGCTGGTCGTGTCGGCCGTGAACCAGATGGAAGCGTCGTATTTTGGAGTGATTTTTGCCCAACTGCACGACATCAAAGTCCACAGCACCACCAACCACCACCACCGCAACAATGGAGGCGACCCGTCGGAATGCCGCAACACCATGCGCGGCAACATGAAGAAGCTCTTGTTCATCTTAAAGCGCATCATCGACAAGAAGAAACTCAAGCCGCTGCTGGACGAACAGTCGTTTGTCGAAGCCGAAGAGATTCTGAGCGCCATTCGCCTCGATTTTGCCGTCAACAGCCGCCGCCGGTTGGGCCACGCCGCGCTCGACAGCGCATCCGTGGCGGACTTTGTCTGTGAAGCGGCGGAAATCGGCGGCATCAAGAAGTTCGACCAGTTCATCACGAGCACGAGGTATCTGTACATGCGCTCCATGCAACGCGACGACGGGACGTTCGACAACTTGGAGGACTTTATGATGGGCACGTCCGACAGCATGACGTTGAAGCAGGCGGTCAAGGCCTTGCTCGCGTCGATTTGGTCGCATGCCAAGTCGATTTGCTCGTTCCCGTTTCGAATGGCACGCCGGTTGCTGACGCGATGGATGTGTACAAAGGCCGGCGACGCGCTGACCGACGGCGCCGCGAGGTCGGCCCTGCGATCCGGTGGGAGTTTCACCATCGGCCGCTCCCGTCATCACAACAGCACGCAGCAGCTCGTGCATGCCCAAGCGCGCGTGCTCGAGAGGCGGCTGACGTCGCCGTTCCCGATCGCGTCCGTGCTCTTTTGCAACCGCCACGAGCAGGCGGCCAAGGGGGGCGAGGTGTGGAGGGTGCTGCGCCAAGTCGGATTGTTCCAAGCCCCTGCAAACACGTCACCGATGTTTCCCATGTTGCTCAAGCCAAACTTTGTCCAAGACATTTTGACGGGGATCCCCGACAAGAAGCAAGAGCTCATCGTGGACCACCTCCTCCGTCCCGACTATAACAATACTGTCCACTGCTGTGACGACGTTCTGGAGCAACGCCTGACGGGCACCGAGATCCAACTGATCATGCTCAACATCGAGGCGTTTCTAGCTCGCCAAGATAATAATGACATGGCTCTGTACCACGTCCAGTCGTCGACGCTGTCGGTGAACGTGTGGAAGTTTGTCGTGTCGCCAGTGTACCACACGAGGCTCATGCACGCGCACTTCGTGCTGAGCGACCTACATCGCGCCGACTCGCTCGCGGCGGCGCAGGCGCTGTGGCAAACTCTCGAGAAAGGGCACACGCTGCTCACCCAAGCTATCCGACTGAGTCCTATGATGAAGCTCAAGGCCACGAGGCGAAAGATGAGCGAACGGCAACAGCAGGCCGCTGCGGTTTCCCGGTACAAGTCGTGGCTGCCGTGGAAGTGGCACGAATACGATCGGGACGGCGGGGAGTACGACGCCGCGCGCGGCACGGACGACATCCGAAGGAAACCCATGGGGGTTCTGTACGTCAACTACATTCTGCCCGTGTGCGACCGGCACCTGGACGACCCGCTCTCGGACCAGATGGCGTGGGAACACCTCGTCGGCGAAATCAACGACGGCAAGTTCCCGCCGTGGGTGTTTCGCGTCAATGATCCGCACAGTTCTGCGATGGTGCGACGGGTCACCGCCGCGTACCGCGCCGTGCTGCGGGGGGTGATTTACCTGACGTTTTGGCGCCTGGAGGAGTACTTTTTGGACTTGCAAGACCGGTCTTGGCCGGACGGAGATGTCATCCAATTGGCATGCACGCGTCGAACGCGCCTCGACGAAGACATCATCGACAGCATTGTCGTGTACAAGCACTTTCGAAAGGCCATGAGCGAGCTCTTTCGTGTGTGGTACGTACTGTACATACTAGAGTGAATCGTTGGTCTCATCTAGTACATACATATGTATGCACGTAGGATGCTCGAAAGCGGGAGTCTGGGCTTACCATTGTGGCAGCACTGGGGCTACTTTGTCGGGGGGTGTATCTTTCCTGCAGTCGTCCTCTACATCTACTTGCCGACGTTGATGTCGTACACTGATTACACGCCTCGGCAAACGGACTACCATATGAAGTGGTTCTTGGCCGGGTTCTTCAGCCTGCTGTTTGCGCTCGTCATGTGGTCCATCGTGCTGCTTGTCAAGAGTACGTACCAAATGTGTACATTGATATTTCGTGTAGTAATTTCCATTCACTGGGTAGAAACGGAAAATTTCATGGTGCAAGAGCGGCAGCAAGTCCGGTTTTTCCCCGTCACGAGGCATTACAGCAACTACTTGGCGCTGTTTGGGCTCTTTTCCGAGCTTGTGCAGCACAACTCAATTCCGTTTAGCGATGGAGTGAAATGGTACTCCCATATTCAATCCTCCCCATTCACATGATGCGTTTGGAACGGCATTAGGGCCACGGGGTATAAACTGCCTGGAATGATCAAGTTCATTGGGCAGCTGGGCATCACGAACTTCGACTTTATTCACATTGGCACGTTCAAATTGGCGTATTTGAAGTCGTTTTTCGCAGGCGGCATCTTAGTGTTGTTCCTCGTCGTATTGAAATGTGCAAACAAGTTCCACAAAACGTATCCAGCGTTGAACACTCGTCTCACCAAAGACTTGCCGCCGATTGTTTCAGGCTTGCTCTTTGTGGTAATATATATATATATATATATGCTTGAAATATACCTTGTTGGCTTATTCCGACTCTAGGGCATTGTCAACTCGTTTTCGTCGCTCTTGTTTTGCTGCTCATGCGACCAGTACACGGACAACCCCGCCGCGCAGGAATCTTGCTTTCATCAACGCAACGGGTCCAGCGAGCCATTTCTGTACAGCTATCCAGACTTGAAATTCACGTGTTGGAGTCCTGAGCATTTGCCGTACGTGGCTTTGGTCCTTGATTTGCATAAGTGATTTCACAGTCATGTTTTGATTGTGGGTTAGTCTGGCGTACGTGGGGTTAATGGGGTCGGCGTTCTTCATTCCCATTGGCATCCTTGGCGCTGGTATGAGCCAAGTGCTGTTTCCCCTGGAAACTCTAGACATCAAGTTCTCCCCCATCATCGACTTGACCAGTCAATTGACCAAGACCATCACGGCCATTTCGGCGCTGTTTTTCACGTTCCGCATGCAGTACATGATCTCGATTGGGTTTGGACTCAACTTACTGCTGTTTATCGTGACTTTGCTCAACAAAACGTCGTCGATATGGTACTACTCTCGTCCAAATTCACTTCACTTCCTCACCTCCCACGGGATAATTGAGCAGGTACATTGGCACGGCCAAGTCTGTGATTTACGTCATGTCTGTGTGGACGTCGCTGTGTGCGTTTGTGAATGTGCTGCTGGAGTCGCCGTCCAGCGGACCCATCTACTACTTGAACGTCGGGTGGTTTTGCATTGCATGCTTGGCGTGTGCGGTGCTGGGAATCCGATTGCGTTATCGGAATATCCGCGAAGAGCGGGCGCGGCGCGAGCGGCTGCGCGACTACCAATTGCTCAACGATGTGTCTGAACTAAGCCGCCTCACAGACATGGAAGAGGACATCCTCCGCCGGGCGGCAAAGCCCCTGACCACCGAGCAGTTAGAAGCGACCGCCCCCAAGACTTTTATGGACGCGGCAAGGCTCAAGGCGGAACAACTGACTTCGCAGCATCTGCCGTCGCATCTCGAGGACTTCATGCGACTAGCCAAGCAATCGGCCGAGAAACCCACGACCAGCGAGCTCATGTTTATGCGGCGGGCCAAGCGCCTCGGACACCGCATCACGGCGTTCGAGGACTTGGAGCGATTGAGCAGTCACCACGACAAGCACAAGTCGGTGTAGATGGCCGCCATCCTCCTTGTTATGTATATATATAATAAGAACACGAACAAGCCGCATACACTACTCTAGCCTCACGTGACTGGCTTTGGCTTGAAAAACGTTGTAATGCCACTCGGTTGTTTTGGCGGCACGATCCCTTCTTCCACAGGCAAAACCCCAGGGGATGGTGCTGCTGGTGTTGCTACGACAGGGGCAATCACCGCCGCGTCTTCAACCGCCGGAAGGTTCACCTTGAGCAGCGGCGACACCAAGTTGGGCCGTTCCACCAGCACCACGATAGCGTACGCATCCAGTTCGTCCGCCGCGTCGGTTATGATCCGAGGCACTTGTTTCACCAGCTTGGACGATCGGTGGTGGTGCTCGGCAACCTTTTTGTGCGTCGACACCGTCAAGTCGTCGTCGTCTGCGGGCCGCTCGTCGATGTAATCCACTTCGTCCTCGTACGCGAGCCACTTGTCGCCATAGTCTAGCCGGTCCTCTTCGTCGCCGTTGTCGTCGTCGCTGTCTCGGCCGCTCAAACTTTCGCCCATTTCATCGTCTTCTTCCCACTCCAAATCGCTTTCGACGGTATAGTCGAGCGATGGGACCGTCGCAAACGGCCGGCGACCCCGGCGCAACGTGCGCGCCTTCTTCGAATAGGTGCCCCAATACGCAGGGCGGTAGTTGTCGTGGAATTGCAGCAACTTCTTGACGCCTAACGTTGGGTGTCGATGGCGTTGGCTGGACCAGCTCCCAAAAGTGACCACTCGTGCGCCAGAGCTCGACGATGACGGCGGGAGCGCGGGCGGGTGCTTTGAGTCGGACGCGTGGGCGCCGCCCAAACCCAACTGCTGGTCGATGGCATCCATTTGGGCGTGCGCCTGCGCGGCCTTGTCCCTGGATAACTCGTCGGTTGTGTTGGCGTCAGCGTCCTTTTTCAGAAACGATCCCCACGTTTGCCGCCGTCGTTGGAGTTCCAAGTCTTCCTTTTCTTTGGCCAGCGCCTCGAGCTTCTTCTTGGCCTCGTCCTTTTCTTTGCGTTTGTGCTCGAGGTCCACTCGTTTCGCTTCGTCCTTGTCAAATTGTTGTTGCGCTTTCAAGCGTTTCTCGGCCACTTTTTGCTTTTCAAGGTCGAGTCGCTTCTGGGCCTTTTGCAACTCTAGCTCCACGGCCACGTAAAACCTGCTCGCTTTGCTTTCTTCGAGGCTGAGCTTCGAGTCGTCGGTCGCTGGTTCCTGGGCCATCGCCACGATTTTATCCAGCGTTTTGATCGTCTGGCCCGTCCGCTTGCGTTGTTTGCGCACGCGGCGGATGACCTTGACCGCATCGTCGTCGAAATACGACTCGACCGCGCCCACCTCCCACACCCACATGGCCCGGGGCGTGGTGTCCTGAAACATGTGCGCCTTCTTCGGCTTGGCTCCGTACGACACGCGTTCGGCCATGGACTTGATCTCCATTTCCAGCATGGACACGTTGAAGCACTCAGTTGCCGGCACCTTCAGCCACCCGAGCCACTCGGCATGGATAGTCCCCGCCAACGCACTCAAACTCTCCATGCTGCCTTGGACGCGCCGCGCAATGAACGACTTGGCCAGCGGCGGCACCGTCGACCACGCCTTGGACGCATGGCTGCATTCCGTCACGACCTCCGTGCGACAAGGTTCCAAGTGCTCCGCCGTCGACAAGTTCAATCCAACGTCCGTGTGGGCACCATAGATTTCCTGCAAAACTTCGTCGCGGTTGGTGCCGAGAGCCAGCGAAACGTACAGTTCCTCGAGGTCCGTGAGCTTTTGCAGGTACACGTCGTGCTTGTGTTGTTGGGCGGCACTCAATGCTGGTTTGGTCACTGGAGGTGGACCGTCTGGAGGGGATGGGGCGGCTGCTTTGGCCCTCTTTCGCGCAGGCTGCTTCACGTCCACGGCGACGTCCTCTTGCTTCCGCCCAGCAGTGGCAGCCAGCCGCTTAGGCCTCGCCTTGGAAGTATCTTCTTGGGTATTTTTAGCGGCCGTTGTACCCTTTGTCGAGTCGCTGCTATCTTCATCATCAATGACGACGACTTCAGATGTGGTTGTTGGCTGTGCTTCTTCTCTTGGTTCGGACGCCACGTCAGTGAGGTCGCTTTCAGGGGCACTTGATGTGGCGAATGCTGATGCCGGGGGAGGTGCGCTGACTGCAGGAGACTTTGTCTTGCGCTTCTTGGCCTTTGGCGATGAAACAGTTGGACTCTTGGCTTCTCCTTCTAGGTTCAGCTTCACTGGCTGTAATGGTGACGTTGGGGACGTCTGCTCAGTTGGCTTTGGAAGTTCAGAACTCGGTGGAGAGTCCGATGGCTTGATATTCCGGTTCGATGCACTGGTTGGCGGCGACTTTGCCTGCACGGCGGGCGCAGCTGATTTTCCTGGCGTGATCGTCAAAGGAGAAGGCTGCTGCTCTACGACAGAAGGTGGCGGCTTCACTGGCTGAACTGGCGACGACGGAGTGGGACTGGCTGCCTGTACATCTTCAGAATTCTGTGCAGGGTCCGATGACTTGATCTTCCGTTTCAATGCACTGTTTGGCGGTGTCTTTCTCTGTGTTGTTGGCGAAGCTGCTTTGTCTGGTTTACTCGTCAAGGGAGAAGGCTGCGGCTCCTCCACGACCGACGTGGGTACACCCTTCGATGCAGCCGACGCCGTCACGCTCCTGCTAACTGGAGAGAAAAACGACGCAATGCTAGCTTGCTTCTTCTTCTGCTCATACGTACGCGATTACTTTGATCAGCATGCGGACACTTCGTACCTCGGGGGTCGCCATGTTGCATCCACGCGCGTGTCGCTGTTGGTTTTCCCGCTCTCACGAAACACAAATCCGATTATCCGGATTCTTATCCGGTCATGCCAAAAATACAGTAGAAAATGGCGCGGGATCGCTTTATGGCAATTCTGGCGCGGAATCACTTTACGGCAATTATTGTGTGTTCTACTCAAAATTTTGGCAAGTTTAACCGGAAAGCACAATGGGAATCGCATGAACGCTACTACGTAGTATTATTAATACACCTTTTTGCAGTTAAGTTGGACGAATGCCCGATATATTTGGCCGTGTGCCCGGTATATTTGGAGGTGTGCCCGATATAATTGGCCATGTGCCCGTTTAATTTGGCACACCGAGGTCGTGTGCCCGATATAATTGGCCATGTGCCCGTTTAATTTGGCACACCGAGGTCGTGTGCCCGATATATAGTGTATTTGGCGGTAATTGGCCGTGTGCCCAAGTAATTGGCCATCTGCCCGATGAATTGTGTCGTGAGCCCGATGAAAATGGAATAACTCAAATAATTA